CCAATCTAAGTTACCTTGTTTCCAGAAAATTTCACTTCTTCAAGCCAGGTCTTTCTGGCAAGGTGAAAACGTGTGAAATAATGTCCTTGCTCCTCAAACTTGACACTTTTCACCATTGTGCAAACAAGGGCACATAAATACCTGCTTAGGTTTATTTGTGGCTATGCTATTCACAGTCTTTTAGCACATAACTATCCCAAACTTCAAAACTCAACAACTCTAAGACAATAAAGCCCGTTCCTGCTGTCAGCTTTTAGAACTAATTTCTTAAGGTTTATTTGATTATTTTTTATAGCTTTTACAGTGCTATGTATTTATTTCTCTGCTGTACTCCGTTTGTTACTCTGAAAGCATTAAATACAACAACACAACTCGAATTACACCCCATGCAGCGAGGCCAGGCAGAGACCTCAGAGCCTCCCCAAGCAAACAGGCACAATGTTATCTCCAAGTCCTTTCTCCCTCCAAATATCTGCCCTTCTGATGGGGGCAAGGCAGCAGAGCAAAGAAGATATTGTTCTGTTCCACCCCATTCCTGGCACCGCAGCCCAACAGCAGCATGGAAATCTTGGCAGGGAACACCGGTGCCTGCGCCGCTTGAACAGTTGCGTGGGGAACGAAGCCAGAGGCTGCCCAGCTGCTGCTGGATGGGGCTCTAAGTCACCCTCTCACCTACTGGGACTCTCTGGTTCCACAAACCACTCACTAAAATGCTGAAAACTGGAGCAATATCAAGGAGATTTCTCCCCATCCACAAGGCCTTCTATTAACTGGTATAGGCTCTGCTTGGTAGGTAACTGCAATGATCCAGGCACAAGCTAGATGCTGAATTCATTTAAAGAGGCCTCAGAATCACATCTGCTACCAGAAATAAAACAAAAACTACTTTGGAGTCAGTATAGCTGTGATTTGTCTGTTCCTAAAGCGAATTACATGAGCATAGGAATTTATTTGTCAGTGGGCAGTCTCAGCTTTGTACAAGACATATGATTTTATATGAAATCAAGATGTCATTTAGAACAGTGTCAAAAGTCAGACTAAAATTAGTATTCATTGAATGAGTTTTTAAAAGAAAAAATATGCCTTGCAGCTTAAAGAAGGAACTGTAAAAATATCTCAGATTCATGTATTTTTCTTAGCAATGTCAATGGGGTTTCTCTTGTACAAATATACAAGTCCAATGAATCAAGAATGAAAATAGTTTCCACGTTGCTGTTCAGATATGGCTCATAACTTGGGATTAAATAAGGAGTCACAGTAGCTCCCCAAGAGTACAGAACTGTCCACTGCTACTCTTTGATTTACACACACAAAATCTACCTACATGGAAAGTCTTGAAAAGACCAAGATAGATTCTCTACATTTATTTAGCAAACAAATGAAATAACTTCCAACAGTCTTAGGTTTACCTAGGCAATACCAGAACTCTCTGCACACTAGTCTACTGGTCAGTGTAAGCAGGGAAAAAAGCCCAAAATACTGCTTATTTTGTTTTGAGAAAGCCACACCAAAGCTCTATGTACCACTCTACAGAGTGAGTTCACCTTCATGCCATGCTGTGCCTACCCAAATTGTAAAAGTCACCCACTTTCACTGAATAAAATGGTGCTTTATTTGTAAAGATGTAAATAAAGCTCTCTTTGTTCATGAAAGATCCCTATTCTTTTCAGAAAAAGGCATGATCTCATCATTCTGATATAATTGTCCCATTAGTTGCATGAAAAGAAACTGCATTGCCACAGCTGAGACAGATCACTCTAGCAGGTGAATTTGAGAGTCTAGAGGGATGTTTACAATTTACCTCATCAGCAGGAAGAAGAATATATGTCATTTAGCTGTTCCCTAAGAGTGAGAAAGAAAGCAAAATCAGCATGGGGCTAGGCTGACATGGAGATGCCATTCAAAGAGTATCCAGACCCAACAATGTCTCAGCCTCATAATAAGCCTTTTACGATCAGTTGGCCCTCAGCTGCATAGCAAACTTCCATTTCAGAAAGGGATTAAAGATATCTTTTAGTCAGGAACATTCCATTGCACCTTCAGGAACACCCATTTACATTAATGGTTGGTGTAGATATTTCCTGCTGCATGGTCCTCTTTAAGTTTTGCAAAGACATACTTCATGTAGCTTTTTGAATAATTGCAGGTTTCTGGTTAAAAAATGTTTAGATTTGTGAGTCACCTCAAGGACAATTTCAGAAAGGAAATATTTTTATAGTTCGGGGTTTTTTTAAGAAGAAGAAAACAGTATGATCATAAAATAAATGAATTTCTCTGTTGTAATAGAGTACCATTCAATACAAATATTGAGCTACAGATTTTTTTCACATCACTCTTACTTCCAGAGTTCTAAGCAAAGTGAATAAAAGGTGATCAGACACAATAGCTGTATGAAAGAAAAATCCTCTCTTTCAGATGCATCTCAGTAAGTTGTCTCAGCAACTTAACACTCACTCTTGAACTGACACAGTACTGGAGTAGTTTCTCAAACAAACATTGTGAGAGTCAGCTACAATAGACATGGTGTTACCCTTCAGTGCTTTGAGAGTTTCAATTTATTGAGACTGACAATTACAGAAGCTTGATGCTGAAATAGCAGTACCGATCCGAGGAGGTGGTGGAGTCACCATCCATGGATGTGTCTAAAAAAAGACTGGATGTGGCAGTTGGTGCCATGGTTTAGTTGAGGTGTTTAGGGCATGGGTTGGACTCGATGATTATGAAGATCTTTTCCAACCTAGTGATTCTGTGATCTGTATGCAAGAATGCTGTATTAAACAGCCAGCATGTTCCCTAAGTCCCTCTAGGAAGACCAAAAGTCTTCATAAGAATACGGTGTTCTTGGTGATTAAAGCCAGAAATTCAGGAATGTGGAGTTACAAGATTAGACCTGTACACTAAGCACTACAGAAGGCAAGATCAAGTCAAACTATCTCCACTACAGGTCCTTCTACTTCTCCCAGCTGGATATAGTGGTGCACATTGGCACCATGCCAGAACAGGTCAACAGACTTCACCTTTCCTCCAGCTAATCCTCTCATGGCCCTAGGATTGTAGCCCACCCTTGCACTTACATCACTGCTACTTGTATTTCACTTCAAATATCCTGTTTGCCTTTTTTGTTTCAGAGTTTGTGTCTGACTTCACATGTATGGCTGTTTTATCTGCTTAAGACCATGACCTCTTGGATTTTGGGACTGAGGACAAATACATCTTCATCTTCAACAGGAAGCTCCATTTGAGAGACCATGTATCAGTCTGACTTGCTAGTGATTAGGTCTATCATATTAACATGGAAAATGGACCTCATCCTATCCCCATATAAACAAGTAAGGCAAATTCTTGGTAAGAGGAACCATGAAGTGCCTCCTTTAGATAGTATTTATAAAGTTTCATATCCTGAGATATAATAACTAGACTGAGCACTGTGGAGTTCTTCCTCTGCAGAGAGGAAGTTTGGCCTCCCACACTAATAAGTCCTCAACTCATGCATCTCAATGAACAAATGCTTTAGCAACTCCCACATTACCACATTAACTCAAAAGCATCTCAGGACAACCTTCATGTTAGCATTTCAGCATATATGAATGGAATTCCTGAGAAAGCAGGTTTTCAAGAACTGAAGTGTGCTCCAGGGCATTGACAGACCCCCACAGTCTCTGCTGTTGCTCCTGCAGCATTTGTTTCCCATTTTGTTGCAGTTATAGGATGAGAGCATCTGGATTTCAACCCAATTTCATCAAAGAATGACACTACCCCTGTAGGTGGGCTGATCCTTAGTCAAGCTGACAAAGGCATCCTCATAGTCAGCATCACTGTTCCAAGCTGGCCTGCTTTCCACTCCAGCATGTCTTTTTGACTCAAACAGGCTCTAAATACTGACACCCTGCTCTAAGTCACATGCCTGTAGAAGGGAGCAGATCAGCAGCATGGGTGGCTCCCGGCTGTGGAAGTGTCAGAAGCAGCTTTTGCAGGGTGAGGGGGATCTACAAGACCCCCACCCCTGCAGCAGATAAGCTTGCTTCCACCCAAGTTTTGGAATAACTAATTTATCTCAAGAAACTCCTCCAGCTCAGAAGAGGTTACAACCTCCAGCCGCCTGTCATCACCCTTCTGCTTGAGATTATCTGCTGGAGGGGCTCTTATTACAAATGTTCCACAATCTGTTGCCTTCAAAGAGAACCAAGTTAACTTTAAAAAAATAGTCTTTTCAGCCTAACTCATTTTGACAGACAAGTTAGAAAATGACAACATGCACAATGAACGGATCTGAGATGATGATAATCACCAGCTGAAAGATGGTGACAAGCAGCTGAAGGGCAGTTACCTCTTCTGAGAACATAGCAAGATCCAGGCAGTAACTTCTGCCCAAGACTTCATTAAACTACAGTTTTGTCTTCTAAAACACAGCTTATTTTCTATACATTGCTGGAATAAAGAAAAATTAGTCCTTATCTGTGTAGCTAAAGCTAACATCTACTTAATCTACCAACAACACTCCTTTTGCAAAGCCAAGTGTTAAAGTATACGAAGTCTCTTCCCAAAATCTTTTTTTAATGACCTGTCAACTTCCTTACCTTCAATGAATCAACATTTTTCTGTATCATTCTATACCCCACCAAATAAAAAGCTGTTACATTTTTCATATTCAAATGCAAGTTCTGTGTTAGTATACAAATTTCTCTTTGATTCTATACTCATATATGCTTTTGCAATGACACAAAATAAATTTCATCTTTCTACAAAAGAGTAGATAAGGAACTCCATGCCATAAAAAACCCCCACAATAACCTCCTTGCTGAAGCAGTGCAGGAGAACCTCACCTAGACCCTTCCTAAGGGGGTAACATCATACTACAGCATAGCTGCTTTCATGTCTGGTGATACCAGTGATTATTCTTCTTATGAGTAATCCTGTAGTGCTATAGCAGTTCTGGAAGCCTCAGCTCTTCTGGGGAAGGGACCTGTTTATTTGGAGTTTGGAGGGGATTTTTTATTAAATTCAAACATCTTTTCATGTTGGCAGCAGTAATGACAATCCTAACAGACTAGTTCCATACAGGCCACACAGGGATGCCTGGAGCTTTGGAGTAATTCCTCTGAGGACTCCAGGGGTGATCACAGTGGAGAGGGGTACACAGAAACTATAGAGCCTATGCAAGAAATAGTTAGCATATGCAAGAGGCTTTGAAATAACTTCCTAACATACACCAGCTGCCTAACATGGATTGACTGACCCCAGAAAAAGTTATGCAGTTGTGAAGGAGCAGCAAATGAGTTTTGGGGGATCAAAAATTTGCCTGCATTAAGTGATTTATACATGCAAATGGTGAGATTAAGCACCAACTGTTGCTCCAGGTATGCAAGTGCTTTCAAAATTTCATTCCATCATTTAATTTACTTGATTTCTAAAAATGCCAAACCCCTTCAATTAGCACTCAACTACACAATGGGTTCCTAGTCTGTAAGTCAGCATTATTTCCAGATGTAAGTTTTAGGCTCACGGTTGTGCTTTCACAGTTAAAATCAGGTAAGAATCTTTATCTCATGATCTCAGGTTATGCTTACATCCTGTTCACATGTATCTTGCTTTCTGTTTTGTCACTAGGACAGTACAACTCATATACTTTTACTACCACTTCTGTACTTTCATTTAATTCTTTTAGTTATTTAATTCTTGTAATATTTATTCATTTTTCAGCTATTGTCAACAACCAAGGGCATTAAAATTTTCCTTTCTTTTTGACTCCCTAGAGAAAAAGCTAAGGTGCTGGTGGAGACATAGTTTTAAAATTTAAAACTAAAACCATTAAAAGTTAATGCTGTTAGAACTTTTCCTCTATGGTTATTCACAGCAAATATGCCACATTTACAAGACCATGAGTTACGTAAGGTAAGCCTTCAAAAGTCATACCTTTGTGAGAGCTTCTTAGAGGTAACATCTGTTTAAACCATTAAAAATCAACTTAAATAGTTCATTAAAGTTTGTTTTGTAACATAATCTCTAGATTTCATTAAATAATCTTTCCTAACAATTTTGTTCCCTGACATTCAGCAATACAATTTAGAAAGGAAAGTGTATTTGTTCAAGAGAACCTTGGAACAGAACACAAGGTCCAAATATTCTTGAATTTTGGGAAGTCTACTCCACACTGTTGTCTTTATTTACACTGGAAGAGAGAGAAAGCTGTGAGAAGCTGTAGCAATATCAAAATGAGGAGGACATTTTAATACTTTGCCTTTGTGACCAGTATTTCCCACAGAGAAAATAAATCAAGAAACCACTCCAGTACCATACACTGCAATGAAAATGTAAAACACACAATGCAATACTAAAATTTCCTAAAACCTACCGTACAGACTGTCAGACAATCCACAGGATGACACATGATTTACTGGAAAGGTGGGTTAAATTACAATTGTTCACTGTTTCGGCATTGTCGTTCCTTTCTGTGGAGGCCCTGGTCTCCAAACATTGATAGATAGCATCCACAGGAACAAACTGAAACTCTGAGCTGATTTTCACACAATTGCTGAAAACCTGTAAGACAAAGGTGAAGAACCACTGAAGAACAGATTACTGAGACAGAAAAAAAATTCTGCAATATGAGGCCACAAGATATTTCTTTCTGAATACAGAAATTCCACTTGCCTATCTATCATCCCTTACTATGAACCAACGTTCAAAGACTATTTTTCTCTAGTACTCATGAGTCATTTTCTAGCATCACGTCTTTGGCAGCTTGAAGCATTTTGAAAGTGAAAGCAAATAAAATTGCTTTTAATGCACTCATAAGAGGGCACTTCAGGTTTTTTAAAAGCCATTTTTTCTCTATCTTTTAGCTGCTAGGAGGCTTTAAATGGGACCCCTGTAGGTTTTTGTCTGTAAACCATACGAGAGCATAAAAGCTTGGAAAACTTGCAGAGATTCTGAAGCAGGTTCACACAGCTTCATTGAAACTGTGTGTGGTTTTGAAGCTCACCAGGACTCTACTCACCAGGAACCATTTAAAATTGCCAACTTATGAAGTAGATTTAAAACTCAAAAGATTATGATGAAAACCTAAGACTTATTTTGTAGGTTTCCAGCTTGAAAGAAAAAAAAAAACTTTCTGTAAATAGGGAGGAATAGGTTTTCATTCTCTAAAGGTTTTAGGGTATTGTTTCTTTGAAAACACATACAGGAGCTTGAAAAAGGGATCAGAATAACCTCTGTAAACACTGCCTGAATTAACCTGCTCAAAATGATTTACCTGTATCAAAAGAATCAAACTGACCAATCCATTATACCAACACACAGTGGCTCAACTATCCTAACAGCACTTGCAGGACAGTTACAATTGAAATGCATCAAATCTTTCTATCTTTGGAGATGACTCTTCTCAACCCACTTTACTATCAATCAGAACAGCCAGCAAGAAAAGAAGGCTTGGAAAACCACCATAAATACCATGAGAAATGAGAAACTACTTTCATTTATATGAAGAATCAGTCAAAGAAGATTTCATGACTCATACCATTCTCTCTCTATTTTGTATTGTAAGGTTTATTAGGACTTGGTGCTGCAAAAGAAAATGGAAAAATGGTTTGAATGGCAAGGAAGGCATGAAAATTTATCACATTAGAGTCTAATATAGTATTTTCTTCTTTCTGTATATATATTGTCATCTTTGAAGGCTCTGAAAGTTCTGTGAACGAAGATTGGCTTTTTACTTCAGTCAACCCAGAAACTCTAGCAAGATCCCAAGAAGTTAATGGACAGAAATGAAACTACTTTTCATGATTTCTGATGGCAAGTAGTACAGTGGAGGATGTTTGATACTATTTAAATTTGTTGTGGGACTGATTTTTCCACTAGTGGTTGCTTTTGGCTTTTATACTCATTACTTATAAATTTTATATTCATTGATAATAAAGAATACTCAACAGTCCTGTTGATTTCAGATTACACATTCAACACAACAGCAGCTGTGCAGTGCCAGGAAATCAATGTCACTGTTCACTAGGGTCATAAAGAACATGGGGTCATAGAAACTTATTTTCCCACAGTCACAACTAGCCATGGAATTAATTCCTAACTTGGGATGGTCTATGTAACAACTCTTCTGCTAATAAATAATACACCAAAAGCTGTTGACATTTTTTTCCTATTTGGATTGGAATCCACTGGCCCACACCAAATGACAAAAATCTGTAATATATGAGCCCTTGCACAAGAGCAGGAGGAAGTAAAGATCAGCAGTTTGCCAAGTCCTTACACTAGATGAGGTTTTTAAGAGCTTCCAGAGGTACAAAGGAAAATAGTCAAACTTTGAAGAGGATGCCAAAACATTTATCCCTGCCTATTTGGAGGGGACAAAGGTCCTGACCTCAAATGTAGGGACAGTAAACAAAACACACTGACTAGGTGCTTTAAAGATTGGTGCCAAAGGAAGTTCCAGTACCCACCTTATGCGTACACTTGTAGCAACCTTCAGTGCTTCAAAAGAAGTTAGAGGGGGAAACAAAGAGGGGGAGGGGAGGGGAAGGGAAGGGAAGGGAAGGGAAGGGAAGGGAAGGGAAGGGAAGGGAAGGGAAGGGAAGGGAAGGGGGGGGAAGGGAAGGGAGGGGAAGGGAAGGGAAGGGAAGGGAAGGGAAGGGAAGGGAAGGGAAGGGAAGGGAAGGGAAGGGAAGGGAAGGGAAGGGAAGGGAAGGGAAGGGAAGGGAAGGGAAGGGAAGGGAAGGGAAGGGAAGGGAAGGGAAGGGAAGGGAAGGGAAGGGAAGGGAAGGGAAGGGAAGGGAAGGGAAGGGAAGGGAAGGGAAGGGAAGGGAAGGGAAGGGAAGGGAAGGGAAGGGAAGGGAAGGGAAGGGAAGGGAAGGGAAGGGAAGGGAAGGGAAGGGAAGGGAAGGGAAGGGAAGGGAAGGGAAGGGAAGGAAGGGAAGGGAAGGGAAGGGAAGGGAAGGGAAGGGAAGGGAAGGGAAGGGAAGGGAAGGGAAGGGAAGGGAAGGGAAGGGAAGGGAAGGGAAGGGAAGGGAAGGGAAGGGAAGGGAAGGGAAGGGAAGGGAAGGGAAGGGAAGGGAAGGGAAGGGAAGGGAAGGGAAGGGAAGGGAAGGGAAGGGAAGGGAAGGGAAGGGAAGGGAAGGGAAGGGAAGGGAAGGGAAGGGAAGGGAAGGGAAGGGAAGGGAAGGGAAGGGAAGGGAAGGGAAATTTCTTTCTGAAGCTTAAGGGTAAGTAGCAATTCTGAAGCATGCCATCAATACAGCAAAAGTGTAATGTAAACAGATACTCAAGTAGTCTGATTTTAAAAAAGTGAGAGAGAGAGGAGGGGTAGAGGTACTATTCAAGTACTACTCAAAGAAAGCAAAGTCTGGAAGAGCACAGCCCATGGCTGGCATCTCAGCATTTCTTTTCCACTAGACCAATTTGAAGAAAATCCTTGCAAAGAAGCTTTCATAAGATGGCATTTTTGTGATTCAGTATAGCACCAATATTCCTTTTGAGTTTTATAACTGTTCCTAGAACATTCTTGGCAATGAATTTAAACTTTTTGAAAGAGGTTGCATTTCACTGTAAATGGTTATCTGGTATTCACAACACAAAATAAGCATTTGAATATTTATTGTGAGCACATTGCATTTTAGGGAGAACACACAAAGATTCTTACCACAATTATCTTGTTCCAGCTTTAATATATTAGCTGTCACCTCTTTAATGGATCTTGTGAGAAAGGAAAGTTTCTTTCTTTAACTCTCTTTTCCCCCGAACGCAATTACCACCTCATTCAGAGCTCTTTGTGTCCACCTAATCTCTCTGATTATGTCTCTGACACCACCACAATACTCCATGACTGACATACCTGACAGCTGTGACTAGTGACAGAACACTCACAATGCAAACCAGCTCTATGCAGGATGAGTATTACCTACCGCCAGCCTCCCAGAACAAACATGGAAGGAAGGTAAAAGAGGTGGGGGCATTTCACGACCAGCCTAACCCCTACCGATTTTGCCTCCTTTTAGAGCCAAACAGCATTGACAAGCAGAGCCTCTTTGTACATACCTACCTAATGAACCAATTGTTGGATGAATACAAAAGCACACCCATTAGTATTTTAATTTTTAATTTATAGAGTGGAAAATGCATGTTTGGAGACCTGACTTACAAGCAGGACTTGATGGATCATTTTGTCTCGCTCCAGCCCTTTTATGCTTCTCTGGGTCATAACTCCCAGCTGGTGCTGAAGTGTCAGATTTAGGCAGGTGGCTATAGATGAGAGTCTGTGAGGAAAGACATACCTGAAAACGTCATTCCCAGACAACAAACTGCCCCTGGAATCAAGGACAAACCGTCTCAGAATTCAGCATTTTGAGCCATAAAGACATGAATTTGTGTTACAAATAGTTTCCAAGTACAATGGCAGTAATGAATACACTAATCAGGAAAAATATTAGAGTGCTTTATAAAGAGTCTTATACTTTAAAATTCCATGGTTTTAAGTAGTATTTATACTTTAAAAGCTTCAGCTTGTCAGCGCTGACTACCTTTTTTTCCCCCATGGAAAAAAAAAAAAAAAACAACTATGAGAATTTTGAGAATAGGGATAAAGATGATTACTCATAACAAACAATTTAGTTGCATCTTTCAGAGCTTCTGAGCAGCTCTAGAAATTACATATTCCTAGAATCAGGAAGAAGGTGCAAAAATCAAAAAAGCATTTTCATGTAGGAATTGTCTAGAGAAGTACCACCCAAGCATCCAGTTTTCAAAGATGATCAGATAATATTTAGAGAAAATTAATCCCAGTGCCTTATATCCATCTAATATTACATTAAAAACTGCTCATGTAAGACTGTCCTCCAACAATCATACAGCAAAACTAAAACATCCAGGATGAGGGATATGCTTAGGTAAGCTTTGTGGTCAAACAGTTATCGAAAGCAGAATTTTCATTGTCTGTCTTAACTTCTTAAGCTGCAAGTTAGGTGCTTATCCTATTAGTTCAGATTGCATTGCATTAAATTTGAAAATATTTCAGGAGCAGTTTTAGCAAATTAATACAACGTCTAAAGAAAATTTTTAATCCACTGTGGTCCAGCCTGCAATACCTCTTTATTCTGTACTTGAAATTACCACTCCATAGGAACCTGTAAGGCAGATTCCACATTACTTGATGTATCAGTGAACTAATGCAGTGCTCAAAAGCCAAAAAAGTATTACTGTTATAAGAACATTGAGGAAAATATTTTCTACTGTTAATGCCAACTCAAATTTTCAAATGAGAAGCTAGAAACAATATTCTACTTAACTGGAAATTTGGGGAGAAAATTGGTATGATGCAAATACTATCACTTAAAAAATTATTAACAGTCACTTTTCTTACTGAATATGAGGCATCATGACAGGCAGGTGGATCCTTCACCCAAATATTTGATGCTCGTCATTCTGATAAAAAGATGGATATTCTTCATTTATGCTATACAATGAAAGCAGTAAGGCATGAACTTCTGTTACCTGGAGGTTTTTTTGAAACAAGGTAGACCAAGATAACTTCACATACGTAAGATACATAACCTACTAACATCACAGTGAACTTTGTTACCCCACAACTCCTCCACAAGTCACAGGAGCAAGAATATATCAGCATCTTACCTATCAGGCATTCCTACAACAGAAGTACCCAGAGTACTTAGAATTCTATTTCAAAAGGCCAGCACGGCCCCCAGTAATTTACTTTATGTATCAAAAAACACTCATAAAATTTTCTTTACCATCTTAAGCTTTTATGTAACCAAAATAATCTTCTAGACAGCCAGACCGTGATATGCACCTATACAAGGTTTTCTGAACGCTAATTAGTTTCAGATTCCAGGGCAACCATCTCCAAAACACACTGAAGCACGTGTATGGAATGTATTACAACTCCATTTGTAGCCAATGATGTGAAAACTTTACAAAGCTCTTGAATAATTATGATTACTAATATCCCAATTAGGTTGAACAGGTACACAGACATCCTCAGTGCTAGACACTTAATGCATTTTAAAAAATCATTTATTTCTCAATTTCCTCTCTGATTGGTCTTAAAATCAACAAGATGACTGTAATTAAAAAGACAGTTTCAGTTTTGTTTGGGATATTTTTAAGTTTGCTGCTTGGGGTGTCTGAGTCAATCTTGCCAGTCCGAGATAAAAGATTGCAGCCAGCAACATGAGAAAATTGAAAAAATGTTTCAAAGCTGTCAAAGATAAAATGAGAAAAGAATTATACCTAAAGTAAATTCTGCTTACTTTATTAAAATGTTACAGATTAAAATATTAATCAAATCAAATTCTGGACAGAATTGTTCTACTTTTCTGTATCCCTAAAAGAAGTATACAGAAATCAGGACTTCTTCACAGTAAGCACTGGACAAATCAAAGCAATATTGCCTTGCCTACAGAAGTTTATAATATAAATAAAGCAACCATGGGGAAAGGAAGCAATCTCATTTTGTGAAGTAGGAATGGAACCAGTTTGAAGTGACTGCAAAGAAAGTGAAAGTCATTATTAGGAGTGAAACAAGCACAGTGGGCTGCAAAGAGGTACCAAAATAATTCACATCACCTACAAATCAGGATTCCCCTGCATTATGAGGACAGGTCATTTGCTCATACTTAGATGTGTTTCACCTGTATATATTTACATATTTATGCACACAAGCATAGTTCACCGGAGTATCCACAGCAGCACATTCTGCACCCTTTTCCTTGCTTACATCCAAACCAGGAGAAAACATAGGAAAAAACACATAACCATTCTTCCCAATTCTTCTCGGCTCAAGAACTCAAGAAAAGTCTATAGCAGAAGAGTGAACAGAGTCACAGATAGCAGGCCTAACACAGGAACAGAACACAAAGACAATTCTGAATTTACACCAAATACTTAATTATCCAAAGTCAGGGCTTCTTACTGTAATTCAAAGGCAGCTTAAATCTTTTTTCCAGCTCTAGAAGAGACTTCCAATTGTGCTTCTAAAACTGATCAGACGTAGGCTTTTGTACACTAAGGTCTTTCTCAAATGAAGCAGCCAAGCCTGTCGAGCTAAGGCAGGAGACAGAAGATTCCCTCTATTCCAATTGTGTATTCAGAAGTACACAGGCATCACATCAATTAAGGAAACATGAAACATCTGGCAGAAAGAGGGCAAAAGGAGCATGGTCACAGTATCTCACAGACAGGAACTTTCATACTGGGAGAATAAGGAGGTGACAAGACCTCTCATTTCTAGTTTAATTTATTTTAATAAATCTGCCCTTCCTGGTTTTCAGAGTTGAGAAACAGCAGCCTTTTACTTAACATTGATGGTATGTACCAAAGGCAACGCAGAGGGTACTCCAAGTTTTTCCACCCTGCATTTTCACATTTCAGTTATTTAAAATGCTGCTAAACCAACAACCTCCTACTAAAACAAATTTCATTCACACTCCTACCAACCTGAAGAAGGGAATAATGTACATATGCTATAACGGAACAATGCTGTCAAAAACCTGCACTTCTATCTTAAAGCAACTTTGGCCATGCATGCTACAAAAATAAAATAGAAGACAGAGCCAAAGGCTACAAACAATATGATATTTGAAAAGTCAACATGGTGAAGTCCAGGTGACTGAAAAAAAGGCAAACATTACACCCATTTTTTAAAGGGTGGAAAGGAGGAGCCCATGAAGTACTGACACATCAGCCTCATGTCTGTGCCTGCAAAAATCATGGAACAGCTCCTTCTAGAAGCTATGCTAAAAACATGGAGGACAGGGAGGCAACTTGAAACAGGCAGCACCCTTCACCAAAGGGAAATCCTGTCTAACCAACCTGATGGCCTTCTACATGGAGTGACTACATCAGTGAAAAAGGGAAGGGTTACAAATGTTATCTCAACTTTTTAAAGCCTTTGACAACATCCTTTTCTCTAGATTGGAGAGAGATGGGTTTGATGGGTGGACTGTCAACTGGCTAAGAAATTGGGTGGATGGTGACGTCCAGAGGGTAGTGATCAACGGCTCAGAGTCCCAATGGGCACCAGTGACAAGTGCTGTCCCTCAAAGGTCCATATTGGGACTAGTGTTATTCAGTATCTTCATTAATGATACAGAAGGGATCAAGTGCACCCTCAGTAAGTTTGCAGACACCAAGCTGAGCAGGGAAGTTGACACACCTGAAGGATGGGATAGGCTCTAGAGGAACCTGGACAAGCTCAACAAGTGGGCACATGGCAGTGCCTTGAGGTTTAACAAGACCAAGTGCAAGGGGCTGGGATAACCCCCAGCATCATTCATGGGAATGAACAGACCAAGAGCAGCCCTGCCTAGCACAGCCTGGGGGTATTGGTGAGCAAGAGGCTGCACATGAGCTGGCAATGTGCACTTGGAGCACAGAAAGCCAATTATATCCTGGGAACAGGTTGCCCAGAGCAGTGGAAGATGTCCTATCCATAGAAACAAAATTTCTGGTCAGATTAAATTGCATTCCAAACAACTTGGTCTAGTTAAAGTTGTTCCTGTCCGTGGCAGGGGTGCTGGACAAGATGACCTTTAAAGTTCCCTTCCAACCCAAACTACTCCATGATTCTACAACATGGCAATAGTGGGTAAGGGGATGATGGAACTGTTGTTCAATGACTCCTATAATATAAGAACTGGACACTTCTCAATTAAATCAGAAATAGTCCAGTTTATCACAGAAAAAAACAAAATTTCTTAGAGCATACAGTAAACTTTTAGAGTCTGCTACCACATGAAGCTGTGGAAATAGTGTCAAAAGGATTAAAAAATGGGAACAGGCCAATTCACAAACAGGCCAATAAATGCAAAGAAAAGGCATAGGTGGAATTCTACTTCCCATCCTTATTCATCTGGTGGCAGATACTGAGTAAATGGAATTGAACCAGTAAGCAGCCAGACTTACATAATTTCTCAAAGCAACATCATCTTTGTGTGACTTTCAGAGACAGAATACTGGGTAAGATGCATAATTCTGGAGGGCTAAAGGCACTATTGGTCATGTTAAAATTTACATTGTTTTCACTCTGTTAGAGTTAAAAACAATGCTTATGCCTGCCCCAGTGAACTGTGTAAAAAGTTAGGGGTTGATTGTCAGATGCCAGCATTACCTCATGGAAACGTGATATTAACAGGTCAGCTTCTGGACTGCAATATGCCCACCCGTTCCCTCATAGCCCCCCAGAAATTTAGCGTTTCCTAAGAAAAGGCAGCTTGATCCCTTACGTACATCTAAGAATCCTCTAAAACAGACAGAAATCAGGTAGAATCAACTGTTTACAAATAGATTTTATTTCTGAATTTACAATGTTTAAAATAAATCAGTATTTAGCTATTTCTAATAAATGCAAAAATACAAAACTTCCATTTGCTTTAAAAGTGCAGAAACATAAATTATAAAATTATAATTTTACAACATACAGTGTTATTTCTCAATGTTTTTACTATCAAAACAGATTTGTGAAACAAGCACCATAATTTATCTTACAGAAGACTTTTCATCAAAGCAGCATCACAGGGCAAAACAAGTAGGACATTAGTATGGAAAATGTCGTAGCAAATCTTTGAATATTTTAAATTATATGAACAGTTATAAATTTTTATAAACAGTTAAAACTGTTCTATTTTTTTGCAATAGCTTTACCATATAGCCGAACAGTAATTGGGTCATATTTGCTTGTCAACACAAGGAAGACATCTTCAAACATTCCTTCTGCCTTTGGCTTGAACTGGACTGGCACAGAGATGTAATGAGAGGATCTAAAAAGGCAATTGTGGGCATAATCATTGTTAATGAACAAGTAAATACTACCTGATAGACAAATTCTTGTCTAGTTTGTATTTTCACCAAAATAATACACTGGATGTACATCAGATCATCAAGTTCAGTTATATAGATTTGAGTATCGATTTCTACTCTGAAGGACTTTGATCTTCAAGGTAATTTTTTCCTTCTGATTATACAAAGTAATACAGTCTTTATTGCTGCTAGTTTACCTTGGTAAGCTTGGTCTGCCTCTTGGCAATACTGACAGTGCATAAAATTTCTTCCCTTCAAATACCACGCAAGTAGACAAAAATTTCCAACTCTTTTCTGAAATCCATGCATTTGAAGCTACTCAATTCTAATACTACTAATTGCCTCCACATTAAGAAATATTTTGCTGAATTATTGTAAATCAGTACACCCATCCTCAAACAGCATTTTAGAAATTTTGTGCGGTTTTTACATAATTCCTCTTCTATTTGGATTACATAAAAACATACCAAATGTAATGGGTGTCTATGTTAACTGCCAGAAGCCTGGACTGAATTACTTAAACATATAAGCTGTAAAAGCAATAGCTGAAAATTCTGAGTGGCAGTCTATTGGATTCCATGGCATCCAATAGAAACATCCAGCACTGAAACAGGTAGCAGTAACAGGCACAAACTGAAATAAGGAATTATGAACATCATCACTTAGTAAAAACAGAAAAGACAGTTTTGTTTGCTTTAACTATACCTTCAATTTTCTTTCCTGAACAGTGTATAGTATTATCCAAAGTCCTCTGGAATGTGCTTATTTCTCCTTCTTTTTCTCACATTCTTCCTACCTTTTCATACTCCTTTTCAATACACTAATCCAAGCTATCATAATCAGTCTGTGATTTTACCCTTCAACTCTATCCCTTACCTACATCTGAAATCATACTATCGGCCCTACACACAATTCTCATTTGTTAGTATCATCCTTAGTGCTGAAGTAACCACACCAGCACTTTTTTTTTTTTTTTAACAACACCCTGGTCAATCAAATAAGAGTACACACATTTAGAATAAAGACTGGGATGGTACTGTATTTTTTTTTTCATCAGGTGAATACAAAAATAAAGTACTAATTGTACCATAGTAAACTACAATCAACAGTGCATCAAAAGAATACAACCTAATCAGTTTTGTATCTCATACTCGACTGCCAAGTGTTGTATAACAAATCTGGCAGTGTCTGTCTTTTTAACCATCTATGGTATACAGGTTGAAGATATTTACTCAGCTCATTTTAAAAAAATCAACTTTTTAAAGTGAAGGACATAAGTATGACTATTTAATCTGTAACATGGATTATGCTAGAAAACATAAATTTTAGTAGGAATAGACTGTGAAGCTGCATATAACTAGGCCATCTGAGAATTTGCAGAAGTAAAAGTAAATTCAGTAGAAAGCCAGAAGAGATGCAGAAGTCTGTATCATCTCCGAAATAATATATGGATGCTCCCTGATACATTATATAACACCTACTCAAAAAAGAACAATATGACCACACTCAAATTTATACTATATCAAAATCTTAACAGTAAGTTAGGTATTACTCTTTCAAAAAGATGGCCACATCTGGCTGGCAAATTTTAATTTCCGGAATATGTACCATATGACCTCAATGGTAGTGAGGCAGAGCAGTTTCTCAGCAAATGACAGCCCTATTAAATTCCTCTTGATCTCTAAATTCAGGTGTCCATTGGGTGGGTGCTAAACACCCAATGGGTTCTTCCCTAAAAGCAGCCTAAGTCAGTAATACATTATGTATTCTGTTTTGTAACAGTCAGTTGATTCTCACAATCAGGATAAGACTCATCACACTTGCTTCCTAACCCAAAGGGAAAGATGCTATTTTCATTTTCTCAGCTAACAAGACTTGAAAGTTCAGACTCCAGATATTACAGTTCTTTGGGCTACTCCATAACATAACCATTCTCAGAAATTACACAACCTGGAAGATTTTTCTCAAGTACAGTAATCAAAAACTATAGTTTCAGGACAAGTAGAATTCTGCTGCAGTTAACTCTCTTTTCTCTTAAAAAACCCCTCTTATTTCAAACTTTCCACTATGCCTGCACCTCAGTTAGTCTCTGAATAATGTACGGCCTTTACAGGTTGTTGCACCAGTTTCAAGTGGTATTTCTGAAAAGTCAGGCATGTCTGAAGCCTGCTTCACAGATAAACCAATCCTCGAATCCTCAAAACATAACAGTGTAATAAGTTGAAAAAGAAGAGTATGGGCAGTTAGCCCAGTTTAAGCCACAGTAACCAGATGGTTCATCAATGAACAGTGACCACTGACACCCAGAAGGGTGGCTACTGAAAACAAAAATAATAGTGAAGGGAACAACTTAACAAAGAGCTTTACATTTTAGTAGTATCTAGAACATACACTACCTTGTAATCAGATGGCTTCTGAAAGCAATAAAATTGGGACACTTTTGTTTTCAAGCTTTAAGTAGGCATAGCAACCTGGTAGTGCTTCTAGAAACAGAAACTTGCCACTTTCTTAATGGCAAATTCATATTTTTGTATCACTTAAGAGTCACATTGTTAAAAGTATTCTCCTTGCAGTAAAAAAATTTCTAGTCTGCCAACAAATAGAATTCTTTTGGGCATAAATTGCAAACAGAATTCCACAGCAGTGCTATGCAATGGTACTTGGAATTGCCTAACCAATTGAAGAACTGATAAAACCACTACACCAAATTCTGAAAGACAAGACTGTTAATATTAGATACTGAATTTCATTTTCTTTATCTAGATTTAAAACTTTATTACACAGGATTAATTTTGGCCCTCAAAATTAAGAGCAGGGAATAGACCATGTTTACTATATTACATTTTTTGGCAAAAAACATAAAGGTAGATGGTACTTGCTACTCTTATACTCTTATTTACAGACTAATATTCCAAGTTCCTGCAAAGAGTCTTCTCATCCAATTAGTTTTGAACATTACTTCCTAAGATGACCAAGTTTAAAAGGAAACAGTTACCAGTGGCTTTACTGATATTGATACCTGATGGTATTCTCAAATAAAAGCCATTTAAAACACTGTTAACATTTTTTAAAAGGCATCTCTCCAAGTCAAGCAAATCTTTTCTGCTTTATACTTATAAATGGGAGAGCACTATGTTGATTTCAGAGAAATTATTTTTTTAAAAGATAGGAAAAGCTGGTGTTTACAACCAAAGGAAAAACTGCCAAAGCTATTAGGAAAGAAAAAGTAGACTGACTTTTAAACTTGTTAAGTCTACTTTAGATGAATGCAGTAGTAGTTCATAACCTCATGCAGAAAAAAAATATCCCAAATAGTTTTTACAGCATTCCTCAAAAATGGTTTTGAAATATCAAAGTATCTTCTAGTGAAGTCACTATTTTTTTGTCAAGGATGACTAAATCAAGTCATCCTGTCCTTTGTCTGCTGCTGTACAGCCTCAGGTCTAGCTAGTTGTCTTTATTTGGATAGATGTTATCCTGGTCATTACCTCCAAAAAAACCCTTCTGTGCCATCTCATATGAAATATTTAACAAAATGACATTTAAATTGAAGTACTAACACAAGCCTAAGATGAGTTACAACACTTGGCACTGAAAAGTGGCCTTAAGAATACCTTGAATACCTCTGGCTAACACCACTACAGCCCTGTCTTTGTGATAAATGTGGAGCAGATTAGGAGGCAGAATATCTAATTCCATTTACAATTTGCTCACAATTTCTGCTCTCTATAGCCCTAGCTTTCCTGTGTTTAAAATGGGAACCTGTTTAAACACTGAGAATGTATGCTGTACCACTTCTAATGAAACAGTTGCATTTCTGCTTCCTGACAATCCCACTGTTGCAGATGAGCATGTGAGATGCTGTACTTCTTTAAGAGATGACTAATACTACTGTCACATACTTGATGTAATGAACTCCACAGATGACTGGGTTTATTTTCAGGGATTGCTATCACTAACTTAAAAATTTCTTTTATGCAGGTAAAATGCTGAAATAGTTGGTATGACCAGACAATTCCAGTGGCTGCTGAAACCTGGTGTTTGCAGAGAATCTTTGATGAAGCTCTGCAGGTTTGTCAAATTAGAAGCATGATGAAGGCAATTTGCTTGATCTGTTGTGCAGAAAGTATAAATGGAAGGAACGACTTGATTGTGCACAGCATGCCAAATGGTTACATGAAGCATTAGGCTTAACATTAAAAGCAGCAGCACTGTTAGAAACAATTTGCAGGGAAGAAATTGGCAGATGCAGAAATAACTGTGTGGGCTCATTCTGTTTCGAACAGAGATTAGAGAGTTCAGTTTAACAAGAAAAAAAAACCAACCACCAAAAAAGCCTCACAAACTGCCCCCCACCTCCCCCCCAACTGGTAACCATAAACAAAAGCATCCAGAATATTTCTATGTATATTTTAGCAGTGTACTTATAAAGAAAATATTTATCTTACCAAATTACTTGGTTAATTTTTTTGTTATGAGAAAACATTAGCATATGCATTACTCACCTTATAGAGTATTTCAAGTGCTTGATGTAGAAAGGCTCCCTGGGCTTTACAAATTTCAGCTGTAATTTAATACAAAATGCTTAAAAGTGTACTATATTTAAGTGCATCCTATTCAATTTATGACATGTGTAAGATAAATCAGGTGACTTACAAATACAGCTTTACACAGACCCAAGGTTTAAAAATACAAAATGCCCACATTTGTGAACAGTAAATAAAACAAACTTAGTTCAATATTTGAATGAATTAAAAAATTAAAATCAGTAGATCAGAATAATAACAAACCTATGCAAACTATGATCTACCATACTTTCCTATTAATATATTACAAATTTACTCAATTACTCAGTCAGACAAAAAAGAAAAATCACACATCAAAATTCTTCAAACATTGATTTTTGGAACTAGCAAAATAAGATATGTACTATTGCAATATTTGTCAAGAGAAAAAAAAAAAAAAACCAGTGCAGTTGAGCAATTGAAAGGACTTAGAAGTATCTATTTAAGATGAAGTCTGTCAGACTTACCATGTGTGTTGCATCGGAGTTATTCCGCAAGCGGACCTTTAATGTGCATGTTTCCCCAACTCTGGTTAGAGGAAACACGTAGATGTCTTCTGACACATATACTCCTTGAATGACTTCTTTTTGTCTGATTTGAAAAAGGGATTTAAGATATTAACATTTCTGACCTGTATGATCAGTGTATATTGATTGCATACTTGAAGTAACAAGTGTATTTTCTGAGAATAAATCAGTAAAAATGGAAAGATCCAGAAAACATCAACTGTCTCGCCTTAAGTTTTGTAGGCAATATATTTTAGCCAGAAAGAATAACTAAAACATCACTATGGCATAAATATACAGGAATTTACTAATATGCACTTTCACAGTCTGAATTTTTCCCCCATATGTTTTACCAGAGACCTGCAGTCTTATCAAAGATTGCAGGTTTGACCACACATTTTACTCTCCTGCCATATTCTCAATCATCCCACAGCAAAAGAACCGACAATTAACTTACGACTGAACAGCAAGGTTAAGACATGCAGTACTGTGGTTTTCTCAGAATTTACTTTATAAATCAACTGGGGTGCCCAAAAGGCAAGAAGCAGAAAAAGTATACACAGAATTCTACTGCCAATACCAGTTCATCCACCACAGCATATCATAGTTAGACAACTTAGAAATCAACTGAAAAGAAAAGGCATGGAAATTGAACAATACAAAGCCACTAAGAGGTTTTGGCAAGTCTGTTTTTTACAGCTGCTTACTCTAACATAGAATCATAGGATCATTCAGGTCAGAAGATACTCAGATGGTCTCTAGCTCAACCTCTTGCTCCAGTCAGGGTCAGATGTGAGGTCAGAGCAAGCTGACCAATTAAATCCCAAAAACATTTGAGGACATAGACCACACACACTCTCAGTGAAGCCTGTTCTACCACACAGATGTCCCAATAGTAAAAAAAGGTTTTGGTTGTTGAGCTGGGTTCTACTCCCGCACCCTTTTAGCCAGCTGCAGACACACTCTTGCCAGGTTTTGTCCATACATACCTTATTGTTTTTGGTTGTCCTTCAGAGCAAGCTTTCCTTTCTGGTGTAACTGGAAGCTCAGTTTTTTTAAGGACACTTGGAGAAGATTTCACAACTTGTGTTTCATTTTCTGCTTCAGTACTCTATTGGCAAAACCAGAGAAGATTGTAAACTCCAAGTTCGAAAGTACTTAAGTATTCAGGAATGTAAGTAATTCCCCTTACCCAATCCAAATCTTTTTATTTAAGGAATAATCTTCAAGAAGCATGAGAGTCTGGATCATTGAGATGGAAGCAATTATTTATGAGGATTATGTCAACAGGCTTCTGTTCTTTATGAATACTTATTTATTACAAGACAGTTCACAACAAACTAGCAGCGCAGGTGGAATCTCAAAAAGACTGCAGGCAACCAAGATTTTACTTAAAGCCAAAAAACCCCTCACTTCCTCTGCAGATATTATGCCCATATGCCTCAAGAACAACCAAGTTGGTTAAACAAGTGCTCAGAAAGAAGGAACACGTAAGTCAGCATCATAATCTGAATTCTCAAAACAGCAAAAAGCTTGGTAATAATTTTGTACCACAAACAATACATCCTTCTCAAATAAAGGCCTTTTTAGAGAAGCAGAAAATGCACTAAATGGTATTTTCTGAATTCAGAAATTAGGCAAAAATATTTATCATCACCAAGATCCCCATTTAGGGTATTCTAACACAAGGAGACAAGATCAGCCAATGGGAATAATTAGACAAATAACCAATTTCAAATTCTGCGTTGCTTAGTGAATCTTGCCAGATATTCTTTGGAGTCCCCTTGGGTCACAACATCTTAAACAAAGTTAAAGAACCTCCTACACTTTTGGTTGTACAACATTATGTCAATTTTTGAAATGGTGCTGACGTTTTAGACAAGCAGTTGATTCCCTGACGCAGGGAAGATGAAAAAAATAGATTCATCTTCAATAGAGCTGCTATGACAAACTTGTCTTTTAGACATTCATTTCTTCTATTGAAAGAGCTGCTAATCAGTCTGTCAGAAATAGCAGCAGCCATAAAAAAAATCTTCCATGAACCCCAGTAGAACCTAATAAAGACAATAAGTATTTGCACATATGTCTTGTTTCAAGAGATTTTATTTTTCTACATAGTGAAAAACAATGGGCATCATGCCTCTGTTTTCATTCAAATTCTAATTTATCAAAAAGCAAGTTGACTGCATGAGAATAGGTACATTATGGAAAATGATCAGAAGTTACCCCAACCTTTATAAGGGCATCTTGGAATACTGCTTTCATTACAACAGGCTGTACTGACTTCTGCTGTTTCAAATGAGAGCAGTACATTAACACTCCAAATGTTTACAATTGAGTGCAACAGTTCCAAAGACAGGAACTGCTCAGAACACAGAAATTTGTATTGCTTGAAAATTGGAATTATTTTGCTCACAGAGTTTAAAAACGTTTTCCTTCCTCTCACTTCTGAGATACACAAAGATGATGAAGCTTTGTGCTGCAGATACTTTCAAATGTATTTAATGTTACTTACGTAAGTTACTTAACTTTTTAAAGTATATAAACCATGTAAATTTAAAAATGGCATGCATTCAACATTTGTAGTCTCTTCAAAAAGTAGCAGGAACTCTTTACAAAGTCCTCAACTTTCTACATGCTAAAGGAGCAGTCAGGACTTTGATGCTGCCTCAGCCTTGTGGCAGGTGCTTGCTAGTTCATACAGAAGGGACAAATAGTTAGACCCAAATACCAGTACAAGACTTCTGTGCACAATACTCATTCTCAGCTCAGTGATCTTCAAAGAGCCTCCAGCAGCAGCTCCCAGCAGCAGGAACAAATGTTCCTCAGGAAAAGAAAAAACTAAGTTTGAATGACCAGCACTGAGAGGCTGGGGCTGCCGAGCACAGAGAATCCCTCCTTCCTCTGTCTCTCAGACTGGTTTTGGAGACATGATGATCTGGACTCCTGACTACAGTTTCCAATGGTGAGGACTGCAAACACATGTAGAGCATAACCAAAATTACAGTCAATCAATTTGTTAGGAAAAAGATTAAAGTGGTATATGCCACTGATTTTCCTAATTTAATGTTGTTCTTTTAGTTCCTTCCTGAGCTCTTTCAAATTTTTCATTTGTTCTGAAGTAGTGCTATAAAGAAACATCACTCAGCCACTCCGAATGACAGTCAGTCACTCTCCTCACTTCATTCTATCAAAAGTCACATTAACCACAGCTGTAGCTGCCTGCCTCAGCAAAGCCACCAGATTCCAAGTACTTTTCAAGTTTGAGTAACACTGTCTGAACTCTCGATCCCGAGAAGGTAACAGATTATAATTCACTTGTCTTGCCTTCTCAGCTAAAAGTTGCAACACTCTAAATGCTCTGTATTGATCCCTCCTCTGACCAGATGTATGGCTCCCTACCTAGTTGATAAAGACAGTACTTCCTTTTAAAATCTTTCTGAAAATGATCATGACATGCATTTCAAGTATTTTCTACGAACTTTTTTCCCATGTGCAGAGATGCTATCAAGATCTAATTGTTAACAGCTCTGAAAAAAATCAAGAACAAATCTGACACAGTAGTTCAAAAACATCAATATCAAGTCATGCTGCTCAAAGATTTACACAACTCTGACAACTAGTCACGTTTTAAGAAGAGACTTCTTTAAAACTCTAGAGTTCTGTTAAAGAAATAATCTTCTCCACATTTCAACTAGCTTTAAAAAGACATTATTTAGATGTTTTCCTCATTTTCAGAAAAATTACGACCAATGAATTTGATGAAAGCTTAATAAAAAGCCCTCTAAAACCAAACATTATACAGAACAAAAATCATAAGTTATTTAATATTAAACCTTTTTACAAGTACTCTTTCAACACAATTAATTTGGAAAGAACAAGGAACCTACAAAACAAATGTAAGGTACCTCAACAAGAAGGTTAAGTAAGGTTCTTACTACTGAAGCATGCTTAGTACTCCAAAGAATGATCCCAAATATTTGAGTGGACTTCTTAGAAAAATCAAGTCAAACTTTCTGAAGAGGATAGTAAAGCATATATAGCAATCATGCCATACTGAATGTACAAAGCTCTTCACATTCAGCTTATTTAACTAATAATTATAATTAATTCTTCCTTATGATAATAAATCCTCTGTCCTATGCAAATTCCTATTGTATAGATGGGATAAAAAGCAAGGTAAGGAGAGAGAGCACAGAAAAACAGTTGCAACTCCCAACCATTTCTTCCAAGCCTTACCATAAAGTTTGAGCTTAGAAACAATAGTGGAGCAAAGGGGAGCCCAAACCCAATTGCTCCCATGTATAAATTTCACAATTATCCCCACTTACATTGTTACTCTGAAAAAAATACTGAAGCGGGTTTTATTAGAGACACTAATACTCATCTCCAAGATGGATATTTGAAAAGTCCAAAACTGCACTGAGTTATGTATTATAGAAAATGTCAGTTACTTTGCTAGTAGTAACCTAATGAAGGTTACTTCACTATTTATTTACAAAAATAAAACCGGCAAGCAGAAAAACAAACAAAACTGATAGAAATACATTTGTCTACTGAAACAATTCCCCTAGAATGTAAATTTGTCTCTACTCTCTTTGAGGTAAATAAAATTTTATATAATAAATGGCAAAAGAGAATGCATTATCTCATAAGGAAGAGGAACATAAGAACAAAACCACAATTTAACCCAGCAAAAATACAGCTGGGTTGAGTTTTCTTCCAGAATATACTAACGCATATATGAAAGAGCAGTGTATAGTAAAATGAAAATGTTATCAAAAAGTTGTGCTCAAGGCAGTGTTTATAGCTTTTATATACTCACATTTCCAGAAAGGTAAAATTTTAATTTTTGTTTCCTACTTGTATTTCCAACTGAGTAATACTCAAAGTCCCAGAACTGGGAGTAATCTCCTTTATCTCTAGGTGAAAAAATTACAGCAACCTACAAAAAAAAAAACAAACAAAAAAAAACCACCCAAATTTTGTAGAGCACTAATAATCTTCACATCTTCACTATTTTACCTGTACAAAGTTATGGTTCAGTCACCACAAAATTTACACACTACAGAACACACATGGGATACACAGGTGATCTTGCAGAAAACTATACAACTAGCTGGTCCTCCTCTGCCAGCAAGTGGAAAAAAATGGATGAAATATGTTGTGCAAGCAATTTTGAACAAAACTTGAGTTCAGATAATCTGCTTTAAGCAAAGCCAGCAAGTGATGGCACAATTACTTCTGTTAGTAAAATAGAGAGAAAGGGGATGAGGAAGGGAAATATGTGCACCTGAAAAAACTTCCTTCATCTGGCAACTAAGTTGTGAACAACTCAGCTCCTCCAGCTCCAAATCTATAAGTACACTATGCTATAATTATTAGAAAGACTAAAATTTAAACCAAGTTGCAACCTATGAATTTGATCTTTCTTAAAGGTCACCTATGTAACCCATATAGTGCTGTACCAGGTTAATTCAAGAATAAACTTCAGAACTAAGGTTGAGGGAAGAAGAGAAAGAGAGCAGCAGATTAGAATAGACCACTACGACTATATCTAATTAGCCAATCATAATATCCACTGCAAAAAAATAGCCAGCCATGATAGCAGTGTACTTTATCAGTTCCCCCCGCCACAGCCTGGCATGCCAAGGATGTAAATGTTATTTAGATAGGCCTGAACTAGGATTGCTAAGGCAAATACAATTGTTTAAATTCAAATAGTGGCCTGCAATATTATGACATTGCTATGAAACTAGACAGGAGTAAGTTTTTATTCTTGTAAATAGATTACGAATTGCATCTCTATGGAAACAATGTCATAATTACCCATAACAATGAAAAGATAGGTGTTAGTGAAGATGAAAAGATAAAACTCAAGTAGCATTGTGAGAGAAGATGAGGGAAGAAAGACCCTTACTAACCTGTTCAGTCTATCATTGGATGTGCTTTATAACTGTGGTTATGAAACCCTCTACTGGCCAGAAGGTAAAAATGCAAGTCAAATTAAACTACTGCTCCTGTACAAGTATAGCAAGAATGCTTCAAGTAAAGAAATCAGGTGCTTACACCAGTTTTGAAAGAACCCAGGATTATTTGCCATTTTCTTCCAGAATTTTACAAAACATTTAAAATAATTTTCTCTTCTGAAATACTTTGTCCCTAAAAACCCCCAAACAGTAACGCAAACACACTTTGAAATCAAACTACTTTGATTGCCTGAATTCTTAGAATCAACTCTGCTGAATTAAGCTGATACAGAATATTTGGCACACACCAGAACCCAATACTGAAAGGCCAATATTTTATCATTATCAAATAAAATTTATTTCTCATTTAAGATCTTATTTTGCAATTGAGATACACTAATATGCCTGAAATATTTATAAATGTTTACCTTCTCTTGTCCATGACCTTCGAGAGTACCAGAAACTTTGGAAAATCTGAAAACAGCGTAAGGAACCCTAGAAACAGTGTCACTTCCATCCACACCCTGCAAATAAATTTATGAGTCAGATTCAAAGGGAAAGAAAAAAAATAGCCTGAAACCACACAATACACCCCCCCCACACACACCCACCCCTTGTAGAAGACTGAGGAAAATACACCCAATTAAGCTGCTTTTAAGTAAAGAATTTATATTGACTCCCTAAAAGCAAATTAATAAAGACTGACACTACTAAATCCAGACACCAGTACTACTGACTTACAGTTCAGAGGTGATGCCCTGGCTGGAACATGACATACTCAGTCCCATGGATACTGGTAAGAGTGCTACATAACCATTTTTCATCATATCACAACAACAGACCATAATAATAATTATAGCATAAAATCAAAAATCATCACAGCATTTCAGACTATCAAAAAATAGGGAAGCACTTACAAATATTAATAGCTAGGCATAGGCAACAGCACTGTAATTAAAATATCCGTGACCTAACTCAAATTTCTACAGAGATACCACATACAGTGCAATTTCAGCAGCACAAGTCTGGAACAAGACAAGTCTGGCATTCTGGAGTCAAAAAGAGACACCTATCTTTCATTTATGCTTGATCACTTAATGCAACCTGGATGATGATACTGAATGAGCACAAGCAAACTCTGTAAAGCAGTAAGTGAAGCAGAAACTGTACCACGGGGTACTGATTGATTCATAGTCAGTAAGCACATTAGGGATGAAAAAATGGAGCAAAACATTTCCCTGATATGGACAGAGGAAAAAAATCTTTGTAACTGAGGTCATGCTCAAATATATATTCTTTCTTGAGAGGCAACAGGGAGAGAGAGAGCACAGCAGGAATAGAGAAGTTAAAAATAAAACCCAGGGATTTGCATAAAACTTCCAATGCAAGCATTCACTTACTTTAATATAGGGTGGTGCAAAAGACGACAATTTCCACTTTAGATTTTCATTCCCTTTATTCTCCATTTCCAGGTAATTCTCTAAAAGAGAAATATCAGACCAGTATACTAAACATCTCTGTTCAAGTATCACTGATGTAAAGAGTTAAGCAAAAACGATGTTTCTTGATGAACACAAGTTTAGTGGAAACAGTTTTCATTACAACAAATCTCAAGGGCAGACTCAACAAAGCACACTGTAATGAAGTTTGTAAAAGCTTATACACAAAAAAATTAGACTCCACCGAAAAAGATATCCAACTCCTTCCCAATATATTATTTGAACCTTCAGAGACAAAACACAGATTATTCCAGTCTGGGACTAAATAAACTTGCATCAAAAATGTTTTGTTACTCAGCACATATATAAATACATGTCTCTTGGCAAGAATAGGACAAGATCATCTCAGTCTAGAATAGCACTTAAAGTTTAGCTGCAGACATACATTATATGGGAAATTTATAAACACCAAAGTATTATATTACAATCCTTTCATAATTTTAGCAAAAATCCCCAGATATAATTGATAAATTAAGTCTTAAAAGTCCTCAAGTCTGCTGGGAAAAAAAAAATTAATGGCAATAGATAATTCAAAAAAATAAGTACTGCCAAAAAAAAAATGGTATCTAGATAACAGAATGAGAGTTCCATACAGTTACTTTGAGAATTTTAAGCATTACTGGAACTAAAAGTATTTCAAGACTCCATTATCTACCCTGTCCTCCTCAATTGCTATATACCAAGACAAGGACAGCCAGCCTTATAGCTGACACTCCTATTGTCTTTAAGAAGAGCATTTATTTCTCCGCTAAAGAGACAGATTGGTCTCCTCTCCTATGGGCATAAGCACAGATGAGAACAGATCTACTGCAAAGGCGCCTTGAGCCAGGAGAGTTTCTAGCAGACACAGTAACCCCCCAACACTCTTTTCCCAGGGCACAGAGTAGCTGCATTCATCATAGTGGCAACTGATTTGCCGGTATGCAAACCTAACTGTGGAAAAAAGGTGTGACTATACAGTATAAGGAGAACTGGGGGTGGGGGGGGGGGGGTAAGCCTCTGAACACAAGATGCTATATTTAATAACTATATTATATATATATATATATATATATATATATATATATATATATATATATATATATATATATATATATATATAATAACTAATTCCTCTTACCTGAGCTTTGACCAGGTCTTGTTTTAGGAAAAACAATGTTTCTGTTCTTTATGTCGATTTCTGTTAGAGGGAGCCTGGGGAGAGGCTTTGGCACATCAACAGTAGGATTTTCAGACTGTGGAGTAATTATATCACATCTTCTACATGGAAAGTCTGATCCAGAGACATTCTCTGTGACAGCCTCTTGAATAAGCACTTTAATAAACTTTTGCATAATTTGGAGAAAAGTAAAGTTTTAAACAGTAAATATTGATATATCAACAAGTCAAACAGTTTAGCTTACACATAAGAGCTTATGTTCAGCTTCACATTTCAACAAAGGAAAGCTCTCATACATTACATCACCACATCTTCTCCAACCTCTAAAGTTTAAAGATTCTATGACAAGTCTAATTTAGGACAAAAGGAACATATCCCTGAATTTTTTCTATCTAGGCATTTTAATTCAACAGGAATAACAATTTCAACTAGTTCAACTGGCAATTCCTACAGCATTCTCTATTGCAGATAATGGAAACAGAGCTGCCTCATTCATAAGGAGCTTTGTGTTCACTTTTGCTATATAATTAAGAAATTTTAAAAGTTTCAGGTAATGCTAGCAGAATCTTAGCATACTTTTTGCTGATTTGGAGAGGTAGCAAATAAATGACAAAAGCATTACCAACTATCAGATTTCTTATAATTTGATGGGTTTTGCTACATTCTCTACACTTGTCCTAGTAGATTTTTTAAATCCTTTTCTCATATTGTAGAGCATAACATAGTTAACTACATGCAGTTATCATCTCCTTCTCAACAACTTCCCTGTTTATTTTGGTTTTTTGGAGGCAGTTTCCAATTCTGTATCATACCTCACACTTCCCTTCATGCAAAAGGGAAGTAGATACAGTTTTAGCCTTTCAGTGTCTATTTCTCTCTCTGTGCATTGTTACAAATAATCCAAAACATACACTGAATGTAAAAATAAGAAAAAAAAAGAAAGAATTCTCTTTCTTTAGGAGAGCTTACCAAAGAGTCCTTCTGTTCTTGCACAGTAAAAAGAAAAACTTTTGGCTTCATAAATTTTATTTCTATGCCTTAATTTTATCAGGGAAATATCTTGGATTAAAATCCATGAAGAGGCACAACCTGTTCTAGACATTCTTTATCACAGACCTGTCATCCAGAAGGTCAAGTTTACCATAAGGGAGCTCAAAAGGAGCTATGACTTGTCCAATACCCTCTACCCAATACCATCATATTTTACAATATGATACTAACTACTTTTATTTGTGCACATCTACATATATATTAGTGTTTTAGAAAACAATGCATAAGGCAGTGGTGGGTGCAGTTTTGTTGGAAATTCAGTTAGTGTTCACATCACGGTATTTCTTCAGAGATGTATGAACCAAAAATCTCAGTTTACAAAATGGCATCTTGACTACTTTTCTTTGAGAACTTTACAAATTAAAAAGAATAATGGAAGTTGACAGAGCTGCTGACTCAAATCTAAAAGGTTTAGCAACTTTATTCAAACTGACAAAGTAAAATAAAAAGTTGCAATCTGAAGTCTCAAGCAAATCACATACCTTTAGTCCATTATCACAATGGATATAGATTAGGCCACTCCAAGGAATTAATGCGGACCTTGTGGCAAGTGATGGATTAGGACTCACCAGAATTACTGTACTGCCCCTAAAAAAAAAAAATTTAAAAGATCAATCAACTAGCATGACTCTCATACTAGAATCTGTATCTACAACATCTGTCACTAGCCCACCCAAAAAAAAAGGATGTGCTTTTAAGACAGCAGGTAACTGAAGATGCTCAACAGATAGTAAAATCTAAGGTATTCAGATATGTCATATATTAAGCTTTAATAGCCACGATCCCAGGATCTTCTTTCACCATCACTGAGAAATCAGATCACCTCTTTTCATGGCCTAACTCAGTTCAAGAATTCTACAGGCTCCAGCCCAGACAGTGCAGAGTATAAAATATTCTGGCTGGCTCCTATTCTGACAGGTTGACTACCCTTAGCACTGCGAGGAGATGGTCATGAAAAATAGAAAACTGGGCAAGTGTAGCTTGCTGTGCTTAAGTCAGCTGTTCCCACGGGTCTGCTTCCTACTTGCAAACTTCTGTTCTTGATCCAGACTACTTACTTGGACCCAAAATGTGAGGATTCTGCCCACTCTTTTCCAGTGAACACATTTTAAAATTCTACACTGAAGAAAATTGCATGCAGAAGGCCTTCAATATCCTCTTTTCAATAAATAATCCAGACAATCTTGAATTTGGTGTATGAGACACTCAGTATGTCCTTACTTTCACAGATACTGGAAAGTCATTCATTCTTACTGCTTTTTGAGACGATTTTTCTTGGCACTGACTGAATCTGCAATAAGTGGCAGATATCCTATCCCTTCCATGGAACTCTGTTTTGTTCTCACGAATGATGAAAGTTTCCCAGAAATTTACATCTATATGAATATGAAATCAAGTGTTTCAAATGCAACCAGAAAGGCAGGACTGAAGAGAAAGTATATTTGGGTAAATATCTTCAAAGTTAAAGCAACTACTGCAATATAATCCTGAAAGGAAAACCTATTTTTTGGTGGGAGACTTTTTTTTGTAAGATGAGAATAGTTTAATAACAGGGTTTTAAATCTGTTCTGAACTAAACCTTAAAAAACACCAGAAATTTAGAAGGGAGAGGTGCGCAGACCATTCAAGCATAAATTGTGGAAATCTCTGCTGCCATATGTGAAAAGTCCCATATACATATGCAATGATATTATGACTACTTTTCCAAGAATACCCTAATTAAGGCATGGGCAAGCTGACACTGGCTTGTATTTATTTTCATACCTACAAATACAGAGAAGGCAAAGGTTAAATGGCAAAACCCATTTTTCTCAAAATAAAAAGTATCCCAAAATCAAGTTGTAAGGAATATCAACACATTTGCTAAAGAAAATGCTAAGTCTCCAGAAGAGAAGCCTTCTATAAGAACTGCTATTTTGGGGGTTCTTTCTTGGTTGTGGAAGGCAGGAAGCATCTTTTGTTTTTAAACGCACATCTAAATTTTAAACAAAAAACTACGGCAAAAATAGATTTTTAAAGCTTCAGCTTCCCTGGCCATTCAGCTCCTTGAAAATGATGAAATAATAATAGTACTTCCAGGAACAGAAAATTCCTGGCACCAAGGTAATTATACTCGTGACAGAAGAATATTTCCATTAATACATAACTGTAAAAGGATAAGGTCCTAAAAAAAACTAGATTTGCATGTTAGTTGATAAAAGATCTATACCCTGGAACTAAAATAGTTTCAGGGTGCAATCTAAGCAAACTAAAGTAAATTCCTAAAAACAAACTAAAATTCCTAAACTTAAGTTACACACTTAAACTAAATTCCTCACCACACTTTCACACGTAAAGGAACTTATGGAAATATACTTACCCTGGTTCAACATCTCCATGTTGTGGGGTTACAGTAAGGCAGTGAGCTGGCCATGAAAGTTCAAACGTCAACATTTGATTGGAATTGTTGAGAATTTCTACATGTCTAATATCTGCTGTTTCACCTGTAACACACAAAAAAACCTAACACACACAAAATTCACAAAAATGCCGAAGATACAGAGATGCATCAATGAAAATAAAGTATTTTCTGACCTAATTTTATCTTCATATTACTTTAAAATCCTCATGGGTATGCATTCTGTATGCATACACAGAGCACATTACCTCTGATGATTTATTCAAAACTGTGTTCAAATCAAGTCTGCATAAAGACTACTGGCCAATCCACACTTAAAAACATCTTATGCAGTACAGTTATCTTAATACTTAAGTGGCTATTTCATTAACTTCAAAAAATACTTACCAATAGAAGGAGGTGTCAAAGTCAAATACTCAGGTGTAACAGCCCAAGTCTGTTGAGCATCTGATTTATTCTGAACTAGATCATTAGTTTTCGCAGATAAAGAAGTACCCTGAGGTCCTTTAACAGGAAGAACGTCCAAAGGTGAAGTGGTATGTCTGACAAAGTTCTCCAATCTGAAAATAAGACTGCATTAAGCAAATGCAGTAAAAAAATACCTCATGACCTACTCTTAGTATATCTCAAAATTACTCATAGCCTACTCTTAGTATTTCTCAAAATTTTATTACTAAAGTACAATACATGGGCCCTCAATTTGATTCAATTCTCTATAAAGTATGAAACAATCCAGCAGCTATATCAGGACACAGCTTTTCCACAGAATGTTTGGAAGTGGAAGGTACCATTTAGAATGAGAGGAACTAAAATAAATAATTATCTTCAGAAGATAATAATATAAAATAATTTGAAAACATATACAGAGAAAACAAGTACTGCCTAGAGAAATAAGGCAATGCAAGCTGAGTTTCACAGCATGTTGTGCAACACATTCTGAAGATCAGGAAGGCCCTGTGGAGATCACCCAGTCCAACACCCCTGCACAAAGGAAGGTCAGCTATAGCAAGTAATTCAGGATATTGCTCAGCCAAATTTTTAATTTCTTCACAGATGAAAACTTCACAGCCACTCTGGGCAACCTGTTCAGTGCCTAACCACCCTCACAAGAAAAAAACATTACATACATATAATTATTTATTATGGTTCCAGTACCTGTCCAATTCCAATTGGGGTCCAGGAGACTGCTGAAAGCCATCCTGATCACAAGTGGAATATCCAACCACAGAAAGGAGAATCTTTTGCATATTTGCATAGAAAAGATGGATATCGTTTGTCTCTCGTGGGACATCACATACTAAAAATGAGAGTAATAAGAGCAATTCTAGTAAGAAAAATTCTGTAATACTCAGAAATTACACCACAGAGATTTAAGACATAGACCTAGTTAATTATCCACCAGCTAAAAAATCCCAGATCATTCCAAAACTACTTCCTACAAGTTTAGTTATCATGTGTAGCTCAACACTAACATCAAATACAATATATAACTCTCAATACAGACCAATTTTAAACTTTTTACTATAAGATACAGTAAATATTACATATAAAAATAAATAAATATAAAAATATTATAATATAGTTTCCACCTTTAAACAAATGTTATATACCAATTTGATTCTATGACAAATTAGAGTTAGCTTTTACTTTTTTCTCCAATAATGGCTTAACAACTTCAAAGGATAGTCCAGAATGCAAGAATCCAATGTTACTAGCATTTCACCTCAACTAAGATGAATGATAAAAAAAAAAATCTTTACTTTTCCAAGTAAAGACAATATACAATTCATAGGGAAAGAAACAGACCACATTTATTCAGGTGTAGTAGTCTTAGGACAGTAAGTCATTCCATATGTGAATATAACTAGCTCCAGAATAGGGTTTGACAGTAAATTTATTCATGACACTTATGGGATTGAACACTTGGGGGTGCTTTAAGGAACCTTTACAATATGCTGTATTCTTATTAATGTATTTCTTACTAACAAGCAGAAGAAAAAGCTATTTAATTTATGAAGGAAAATAAATACGTATTTTGGTGTCAGCCACATTGCCTGCATTTCAATTTTTAAATATATACGTATACAGCAAACTGAATCTTTTCCAATAGTTATTAAGCCAAATACTTTCCAAATAAACTCAGCATTTTTAATGCTATAATATTTACAGACTGGAGGTTCGTATTACTAGGAGAAAAGTACAGAAAATCATTTAAATAAAAATATACTGAATGAAAAAATTCTGTTGTAGTGAGTTGACCCTGGCTGGATGCCAGGGGCCCACCAAAGCCATTCTATCACACTCCTCCTCAGCTAGACTGGGGAAAGAAAATACATCAAAACTTTGCCAGTATAACTGTCCAAATTCAGGATTTTTCTTCTACATTTATAAAAAAAATAGTGAAAAAATAACTAGGATTCAAGCCAAAAGCACATTTGCCACACAGAAGCAAGTATTATATTTTTCTTTTAAGAAGTCATAGTCTTACCTTCTGTCACAAGCTGCTCCCCTTGAAATTCTTCATCAAATACAGCGTTTCTCACTAAGTTGTTTTCTGGGATTATGCGTTTTTCTACCTCAGGTTTATACATCACAGCTCTGTTAGAGGTAAACAGGAGTCATTAAATTAAACAAAGTACTAGAAACAACAACTTGAAAAGATTGATACAAATCATAAGAATCCAACAGGATTTTCACTTCATCATTTCTCGACTACACCAAGCTCAAATCTGGGAGCATCCATTTAAAACTAAAGCCTTTTCACAGTCTTAAAATGGTTAAAGAAATACCTACTCTATTGCTGCAGAGTAAAAGGAAACACTGAAATAATGGTTACCATATGTTTATCTTTCCATACTTGTTCTGTGCTGTCAGTCACACCTACTAGATTTTTGATAAGTACATCAGGCATCTGAGTGATGTTTCAATCACCAAAGGAAGCAGGAAAACGCTATTTTGGTTACAAGTGGAAGTTTTTTGAGAGGAAAAATTGACTAGTCAATGTCAGAGTGGCAGCAGGTGCCAGCCAACAGCAGGAACACAGAGCCAAGGAGCATGACTGCCAACAGAATAGAAAAGACTGGGAGGCAAAGAGATATAAATAGTCCTGGGAAAAATGGGAAGCTACAGGTCAGCAAGAGGAAATCTGGCACTTAGATAAGGTCAGGGCCATGGAGGAGGAAAGAATACCTAGCATTACTAACTCTTGGGTCTAAGCTACTTCCTGGGCTGCTGACTATATATAATTTTGGAGTAAGGAATTTGAGGCACAAGCTGGCAGATGAGGCGAAGTACTCATTTCACATTCCTGCCCCTAAGTCCCAAATCATGCTCTCATTCTAGTGCGTTATTACAGAATGAGGCTGGACTGGCTCAGAGAACTCTCATTGCAAGACATACTCTTTCAAGTTATCAAGGGAGATTTCAGAAAAACTCCCACCAAGAAACAACCAGCTAGACCACTACTTCGAGAAGAATGTCAGCCTGCTGACTAATAGAATCAAAAAGTCATTTTGCATACCTAACAACATCCAGAATCTGAATTGAAAGTTTCCAGTAATAGCTATGCAGTTGTATTCAGCTTCTAGATGGGTTTTCTGTTATCTGTAGACCAAAACTGTTCCCTAAGTACTTCAACCCTTTAAGGAGGATTCTAAGATAGTGAGCATTGCCTCACACAAAACAATTCACACAAAAAATCAGGAATAAGCATCTTCTAAGATATCTAAAATAAGCCAGTTTCCTATCAAGGTGAAAAACTCAGCTATTCTATGAGCTTTTTATTCAAAGTCATGCAGTTAAATTCAGCTGTGTTTAACACTTCATTTGGATAAGAATATACACAATGCTTTTCACACATTGTCAGGCAATGACATTTAAATGCAATAATGCAATAAAGCTGTTTTGAAGTTTTGCACTGAATTATGATTATCAGCACCTTAGTGCTCTACCTAGTCTTAAGATTCTGCATTACACTATACCCCATGGACAGCACAAGTCACAAATGCTACTTATATAACTGAAAACAGAATATGACATTTCTGTGTGTTTCAGTTATACAAACTGAAATGCAGAACAACATGGCCACTATTTAAGATCAGCAAGGTATTCTCAACAAGTTTCCTTAGGGTGTCATGAGCATATGTGGATGTTATTTTTCTCATATACACATCTACTCAAACACACTCTTTGTCAACAGAATTCAGCAAACCAAGACATGAACTTTGTTTGAAACCAAATACTCCTGGATTTCAGTACTATTCTTTTCATGAGCCTTTTCTTTAAAAATGAAAGTTGCATACACATTAGAGAGATACCAAGACAGAACACAGATCTCTTTCAATACAAAAAAGAAAACATTTCCCCAAAACCCAACACACTCGAATTATAAGTTAAAATACAATAAAATCCTTAACTAGGATTCTAGCTACAGTATGTAAGCAAAGCAATAAATGAACAAACTCCCATCAACAATTTACATGTGCAAGGCTTAATAGATCTCTACATATCATCATCACCCTTTAGCTTGCTCTTGCTCATTTTGGAAACATGTTAAAACCATACTTCTGGCAGCACATAACCCTAGCTTTAAGTTCTTTTTAAACTTCTTATTAAACATCTGTCTGTTACAACAGCAAAGCACATCTTACCTGCGATACTGCTGCCTAGAAACTTCATCTCCCCAAAAAAGACATAGTGTCGATACCAACGTGTTTGGATGGAAGTTCTCTTCCATTGGATTCCATATTACAGTAATCACCTGATAAAATAAGTAGACAACATACTGAGGAAAAAATATCTTATTTGTTTGTATTAATGTTCGGAATATGAGACAACAGATTATTACAATACAAGTGAAACAGGACATAAAGAATAGGTGAAATTTTAACAAAGAACTAGTCAGACATTTTCACTGATGACATTTAATTTAAATTCATTAAATTTGCTCAGAACAAAGCACTGTACTTACTTCATGTGTTCCTTCTCTTAGTACAAACTTCTCTGGAGACACTGTCATAACCTGAGGATCCATCACTGTTTTTGTCTGCAGGTTTTCTAAGCACAGTGCTTTAACATAGGCAGCCCGGGAACCTGTGTTTCTCACGTGGAAGGAAGTTTTCTGTAATCTTGCAGACAATGATCCTTCCAGTGTAACCATGAAGCTATCTGACAACTTTTTAACGTTTTCTAAAATTATATTGCTTGTTCCTCCATATCCAGATAATGGTATCTGGAAGAGAAAAAAAACCCCACCACCAAAAAAACAGTACTTAAATGAAAAAAGCTGCTTAGTAAAAATCATTTATGTACAACTATGGTAAACTATATAGTTACAGAAAAACAAATAAAAATGTTAAAAATGTGACCTGAAAAGCCCTTGCAAGAAATAGAAAAGCCTAAATTTACTCAATCATTATCAAGTTCTACTTCCAAGTTTGTATAAGACCTACCTATAGAACAGGACAAGTTCAGATTTTTTAACACTTCTAGAGTTAAAATCTTAGGCTACTTTTAATACAGTACATAAAATATTTAATTATTCCCAAAGGATAGAACTACATGCAAAATTGATATTAACATTCAAAGCACAAAATTTAGTGTCATATGACTTTAACAAGTATACCGATATCCATAATATGTATCTTGCATTTTCAAATTTTTGATAGAAACACCTATTCGGTGCTAGATTTTTAATAATTACAAAAAAAGCACAATTAAAACTTATTAGAAGTTATCTTCGGACTCTTACAGTAAACTTAATTCCTGGCTTTGATCGAATCCCCAGCTGTTTGATTTCCAGCTTTGCAAAGCAGCAAGTTACTCGTGTGGGTGTAAACATCAGGTATATGTTAGTATCATCTTTGGGACGCATTCTGAGCTCCCAGTTACTGGTTAAGCGTTGTTCTGACCCGAATATACTCCGCAGCTATAAAAACAAAGACATAGGAACTGAGTGACTACAAGAAAAAAAACATAGCAGTAAAACTTACTACTTGGAAGGAAGAATTAACTTCTTTGAACTCCACATTAACTTCTTTGACAATAGCATATTTAAAGATGCAATGCTTAATATGCAATGAAAAAGACAAAGTTCCAGATACTTTATATTCCCATAAGTAACATTTCAATGTCTCTCAGTTTAGACACTTTTTTGTCCTCAGTTCCCAACCAGTCAAGGCTGAACTTTACCAGCACTACATTAATTTTCTGTCAGTATAAGATTTTAGATTTAAGAAATCTGAACATTTGAGGGGGAAAGGGGATATATATCAATGCAGTTTACATAACAAAAAGACCCCTAAAGGCTAAGGCAAGTTTTTCTCCCTTGTCTAGACACCCTCCTGCAAGAAGGGCCACTGATGGATCACTGCACCAAGTAGGGGTAGGGACTCTGTTGTGAAACAGCAGCTTAGAGAGCTGTAAACTGAGCTCCAGTTTGCTGCAGCACTCCTATTTCAGCAGCTCCCAAGGATACCAGCGTAGCTTAAGCTCTGCTACCACATTCATCTTGGCAGTCTCAAAACAGATACACAGCCTGCTAACACTTCAGGGCAAAAACATTTTCATTAAAAACATAGCCTGGTAACTGTCATAAACATTAAAGAGAAATGTTAATGGCAGCCACCTGAAAGGAGTCTTGATCCTGGCCTCTTATCAACAGTCTTAAATGCTGGGTCACACATGGAGAGTCATTTCTTAGAATTAACATCTTCTGTCTGAAAAATATGTTTGGTTAGATTTTAGAGCAAATACAAATTAACTATATGTATTAGTTAATGGAACCAATGGAACTAGGACAGTCAATTCTGAAGTAATTTAATAGGAAAAATTCACCTCTTGGAACAATAGAACATGTTAAATAGAAAGTTATTTGTATATTATCAAACTTACACACCCTAGACTGTTATACACTACAACACAAAAATACTCATAGCAAAACAATCCCCAAATATACATATGTATGTTTAAAAAAAAGCACAGCTTTTCTGAAGTTCAAGTACTGTACTTAACAGCCTGAACTTTCAAAGAAACCAGCAATTGTATCAATATAAAAACTCCTTAAAAATCCCCACTTCAGGACACAGTTATGATGAGGTTATCCAGAGAGACTTGGTTATGCACAGACAAAGTCTTGTGAGTAGTCTGGCCCAGATTCACAGAAACAGTTGTAAATAACTAAATTCAGGATAACTTTTCCTCTTCGTGTACTTCGCAATGTAATAGCAACACAGAAAGCTACGGCCGCTTGACAAAATCAGGTTGACTGAAAATTTTTTTTTTTTTCTCTGTGATACATCATAGCACTGACCAGGCTTCTGGTACTCAGAGCTTTCTTCAGCAGAGGTAGGAAACATCTCCAGCAAGAGCAAGTGCCTTTGTCATTTTAACAAGTCAAAAAAACATTGACAGATGAATTTGACAAACCCTAAAACTGCTACAACATAAGAGAATAGATCATGCAGTTGGAATCAAAGAGGGGGACAGACAGAGCAAAACCCCTCTCCATCAACATTGGCAGACATTCTTTTGTACTCTGTTGAAACAAAATAGCAGAAATAATTTCAGCTTTCTAAAACCAAGGGTTCATTAACACTGTTTTACAGGAGGAACAGAAAATAAAGATAGCAGCATACAGGAAACAAGGAGTAATTCCCAAACACCAAAACTACTGTTAGAAGCACACCACACCTTAACAAACCAGAAAAACAGAAATGCAACTATCAGAAACAGTTCTTGGATACAAACATGGATTGATTTTAAACTGCCAGGAACATCATTAGAGTCCTCAAAATGTTCAGTATAAACGAACAGTGGATTAGTCCTTCAAGTAATAATTACCAGAAGTCCAGAGATCTGCAAAACTTGCAGACTTTACATATAAAAGAAGCAAAGAATAACCTAACAATTATGAACAGTTTCACTAAAGCATAGAATACTGAACCTGTAAACTTGAAACTAAACAGGTGTGGACAAGAAGTAGCCTGAAGGATAAAGTAATTCATAACTGGGGGCAAAACAGATTCTCCATCACTAGAAGTTTTAACACTGAAACCCATTCAAATCAGTTAAGGGATGTTCAACAGTTTATGCTATTCAGATGGCTAAATTACATCACACAGACTGGATTCTGTTCCTTGCAATGGATAAGAGGAAGCATAGTTAATTCTAGCAAGAGATAGGTATGAAAAGAACCAACAGAATTTTTCTATCAACTTAAGTGAAAAATACTTTTCTCCTCATTTCTACTTACATGACATACTACACTTACAGAACCAGATATTCTAATCATAACTAAAGAGAATACAAAGGTCAAACAAGATCAATTTGTTTCCAAAACTTTCTTGCACAAGAAAAATAACTGCAATATACTGCTTCTTTCACTTGAGGCACAGAATAAATCACTGTGAATTATCAATGTAAATTAAAAATTTTACTCAATCTAAGTGCAATATAAAATACTTAACTTGATATTATATATGAACAGCTGCCCAACTTATACTTACACTGATGATCCAAGTGATACTGCTCCCCAGGTAATGAACTGCTTGTTGGAGAGGATGGGTGGAATGTCTAAGAACCCAGCAGCTGTAGACACAGGTCTGTTTTTCCCAAATTCTACCTCACCTTTTATCATCACTTCAAACTGAGGCCCAGATGGCAGGACAAAGATTTTCAAGATACTTTAAAAATAAATACATACATTTAAATCCCACAATAGAACAAGATTAGCTGATAAAATCAAAACATAAATGAAAAAAATATTACAGATAGGCATTTTTAAAACTACCTTTTTAAGGCAAAAATACAAATACTTCTTTTTAATTTATGATAAAGGCTAGCTTTAGGCATAGCCCTACATTTAAACCCTTTGTGCTGTAAGTACACATGCCACATGTACCTCACACAGTCTTCTGAAGTATTTCATCTGGAAATGGTTCAGATAAATATTTCAGAAACTACAGCTCAAAGTATTTTTTGTCCATACTAATTTCTAATTATTTTGAAAGACTAATTTTAGAAAGAAACAAAGTCTGGCTGTAGATTAAAGAGATGCCTTTTGAATGCCATGAAAAACTTCATTGAACTTGTACAGCTGTGAGATATCCAGGAGCACCAAGGAAGGAAATCCAGCTTTTAACTAATAGCCTGAATCATTTGTTATACCACAGAGAGACTTCAAGTCTTCAAGAAAAAAACTCAAGAACCTCCATTCTAGCTGTCAGTGAATCCCTATGATGCCTACTTGACAAAAGCCCTGAATCCCATCAGCAGGGAACATGAACATGACTGAGGTTACTGCCTCAGTCAGTTTATTACTCTTCTGGCAGCAGCACTTTGATGTAGGTTACGAAGTTTCCAATCCTCCCAAGTACCTCAAGCCTATAAAAATTCAACCTATCCAATAGGATCATACTGTCACTAGCACAGAACTTCTCATTGTTTAATTTAAATGCACTGGGGAGGCTTGGTCATCCTAGCTAGTGAAGTTGAATATATTTTGAAGATACTCCTTTGTCCACTCTTGCAGAAACTGGAAATCATGTAACAAGAGAGGAAAAGCTACTCTGGAAAAACAAGTCAGATCCCTGTCATTGCCAAAAACTCTCACATGACATCCTAATTGTCACTTGAACCAATCAAGTTTGTTTTGCAGAATAAACTTCAACAGGTGCTAATGAGCAAAACTATGAATGCTTCATCCATCTGCAAAAGAAATACGCACATTTAGTGTTCGACAGAACAAACTTTTATCTATGCGATTACAGCAGACAAATAAATACTTATGACTCTGATCTGTTCTTGACTTTTTTCACATGTAAAACAGAAATATCATTTCCCTTGCCTCAGCAGAAAGAGAAAGAGGGAAGCAACTGAAGGGGCTGCTGAAGTTAAGTATTTTGAAGCTTTGCCGTACTTTAAAAATAACTACCATATAAAGGGACTCAGGGATTTACTGGTTATTTACACTAAACAAGTCTTAGAATATTACTTGATAGGAAATATTATCTATTCATTCTGCTATACAACTGAAGAGGCAGATATTCTATAGAAAAGGTGAACCTTAACAAAATACCTTTTGTAATGGATGAGAACTCTCATGAAAACAACTGAAGTCAAAAACTGGGTGAAACTTTCAATTTGTATATTACCTTAAGGTAAAAAGTAGTTCAGTTTAACACATGCAGCACAGAATCAGTTATATTACCTTCCTGTGGCTGTTGTGCTTTTTGGAAAAAATTGGACAGTCACTACTTGTTTTTCTCCGGGAAAAAGGAAAAGGTCCTCAGGTTCAACAGCAAAGCAGCTGTCCTGATCGGATGTCTGAAAGCAGGCCAAGGGCAAAAGGGACGCTTAGTTACCTATTTTAAGGGATTAAGCACTCCTACAAAATGTAATATAACTTGGTTGTGCACTTGTGGTACATGCAGTTCAGACAATTTCAACAGACCTGGAGTCTTCAACACTTTATCAATTAGCACTCAGTATCATCACCTAATGGGGCATTTGTGATAGTGGTCATAGATCCTATTTCCATGACCTCTGTTCTTAGAAATGATGGACTAACAAATCTCTTTTTGTAAAACGGTTGACTTTGAAATGCAAGTTTCCAATGTGGTTAGTTATCTTTCAGACTGGAACCATACTTTCCATGGATTCTCAAAAAGTCAAGTAAAGACAGTGCATATCTAAAAAGAACTCACTTTGAGTTGTCAAGATGTACAGTAAAAACCAATGCAGTTTTATTAGAAACTGTCCCATGCTAATATTCATCTTAGCCTCAAGCAGGCTTTACTCTACCAGCTAACTAACACCTGCTGTGCAGCACAGGCTTCACTACTTTTACATATATCAAATATATTAGTTAAAATTTAGTGAAAGTCATAACAGTATGTTTGTTATAACAAATAAAACTGAAGTCGAGTAAAGAACACCCATATGCTTTTTCCAAAAAAGTAAACTAATCTCTTTGCCATCTTTCATTTCCTGTACATAAACTTGTTAAGCTTTTATCAAGCCACAGAGCTGAGCTACAATCTCAAGGCTCAGCTCTAGCTTCAGCACAATATGAACAGCACAAAAATAATGATTTCAAGAGAGAAAAGCCAACCTACCTTAACTTTCAAATGTACACTAATGTTTCCAGCATTTACCAACGGCAGCTGCTGCTTGACTGTTGAACCCACACTAGTAGAAAGATGTATTTTCTGTAAAAATAAATAAGTGTATGTTTGTATATATACATATATAATAAAACCAAACATCACAAAGGTAGGAGGCTAAGAGAGGCAAAATGTTCTTGAAATACAGTTTGTAAATATACACAAACCTCTAAGTGCTTTGGAATATGTATCCTTGCTGTTCCAGCTCTTGCTCTGAGAGAAATACTTTTAATCGTAGTGCTTGGTCCTGGACTATCCACTTCGACATCCACTCTTGCCAGGAACTCCTCTGCTGGACCCAAGGAATCTAGGAACAACTTCATGAGTAGCAAAAGCAAGCAAGTCTGCCAACAGCAAAGGCCATTCCTATGGATGCATGTCTCTCTTCAGCTACTCTTCAATATTAACATATTCATGGAGTGATAATAACAGCTCTCCCATTACTCCTGCAACACTTTTTTCCTCATTTAAGTAAAGTCTCACAGGACCTTATTTATGTTGCTAATGCAAACAAAAAGCCCCATCCTACCACACCAACCAAACTAGTTGATATGTGTACTATTTTCTACTCAGGAAGTCAGAACAATTCAGAGGTTTCTTCAAATTAATTATCTATTTTGCAATTAATGCAATGTGTTCTTAAGTGATGGTTTAATTCCCTCAGTAAAAGGAGTTAACACAAATTTAAGGCATCTTGCAGTACAAACTTTGTACAGCTTCATACTTAAGTAAAAATGTCCCTAGTAATATATAAAGGATTAAGACAGAGACATTCTGCCTCCATACTAAAAATTAGTATGATACCTGAAATATTAGCAGACAAAAACCAAACATGGTTTGGTTTGCAGCCTGTTCCTGCAATTCTAACACACGTATACATTAAAAGTCAAATCTGGTTCAGCTGAAATGAAAATCAAGTTGATTTACCTGAAGAAGAAATTTGTTTCTTAGGTGCATGGAACAGAACCCAAACTGTTAAAGCTTCAGGATCCTGAAAAAGAAATTGGTTGACTTACCTTATGGAAGGGAGAAAATTATTGAGAGGAGAAAACAAAACACCTACAAAACTTAAACATGCAAAAGGTGTGCTGCCCAAAAATCATTACTGTGAACTCAAATATTTAGCACTGTCATTTTAGACAGCAAGTAAAAAGAAGAATTGACCAACTACAAACTACTCACTTGCCCATCATAGCTTGCATGTATCACATGATTTACAACTGATGGAGCTGCTGTCTGAGAAACTGCATCCATTTGTTCATTAGAAGTATTAACAGGTTCCTTGGAAAAGGTGAAGCACCTCCAGGCTACTGCATTCTGTCAAAAAAGAAAATTATTACCAGTACTAAATCTCTTATTGTCAGTAGCAGCAATGCTGACAAAGCTGAGGAATGCAAGACAAGTTTTGAATAATTCAGTTAGTTTGAAAAAAAATAATCAAAAATTAGGCTTTTTGAAAAACTACTTTTAGGTAGTTTTGGTAAGTATATGATAGTCCAGCAAAGACTCTAAAAACATTATGAAACACTTTTGCAGCAAAAGGGGACAAGCAGAGTCTGATTAGCTTAAGCTTTCAAGAAGTTTGGCTGTTCAAGACCAAACATCACTAGTTTCCAAGACAACCTGATCCATCTCAGTATAAGGCCAGTCCTTTCTTGTCCCGCTGCATAAGGAAGCAAGGCCAGTTCTCCCCATAGCACAAATCAGCAGTCAGCCCAGCCTATCCAAAAACTGAAAACTGCATTGCCAGAGATGCAGAGGTCAACACTGTAGCTTCTCGGACAGGCTACTATATAATGGGAGACAATGCAGATAGAGAGGAGTCGTGCCTTGCTCCTGCAGAGGGCCTGTTAAACTTGCTAGCAGCAAGCTTGGCTGCTTGTTTGAACAGTCAGCCATTCCATTTGAATAGTGGAGTATGTATTCACCTGCTCAGAGAGAAGAGGGAAGCTTACTCAGCTTCTCAAAGGGAAGGCTGGGGAAGGCTTAGGCAACAACCCTTTTCCTATCTGTTGCCCTGTGCTATCAAAGCAAGCACTAGAGGCAGAATCCCATGGCTAAGCTACAAAAAGTAACCAACAGACATGAAACAAACCACACATCTATCCCAGAAGCATTTTTGTCGGTACCATTTCAGCAGAATCAAATTACCACCCTGCAAAAACTATTTATTTCGTAACTAACAAAAGACTTCTTGGAAAGTCTTACATGAGTGTCCAAGATAGATTTCTTAATGAGATGTAACAAAGTGTTTGGGTACTAAAATTCAGTATCACAAGATGTTAACTCTCACATACAGAAGTTTACTGTACTTACTGCGTTAATAATAAGTCTAATTGGCATAAAAGCATGGGTTTTGTTGATAAGTTTTAGGGGAAGAGCCTTCAAACTGCCAAAAGACAAGTCACCAAAATCCAGGCAATCTCCTTTTCCTGCTTCCACCTGGTTTTAAGACAAAGCAGAACTTAGAAGAAAGGAAAACCTTCAAAACACACTACCCTACAAAAGTACCACAGAAGAAAGGATATTACTCATCTATTCCATCATCTTATCCCTATATCCACATATAATACAAACCTCCTACCAGGGGTAGGGGGAGCCTAAGAATTATGTTTTCTTTGATATTAGAAGGGGTTACAGCCAATTGGTTATCTCCCATGCATTTTGCCTCAATTAAGCCAACATTAGTGCAATGTTTATCCACCAAAATCCAACACACAATCAAGTTATTTTGGATAATTCAAATGAAAAGTAAGTTTAAACCATGATTATTGCCAGCAAGTAAGAAATGTCAATCTCAAGAATGTAACAACATGCAGAGATTGAGCACAGGGTTTAAATTTTATTTGAACATGACACAAGTTTGAACTATACACTATGAAGAACATTGAGAAGGAACTACATGTGAAAGAATAAAAAATGACTTAAAAATAAATAAAAAATCTATGCAAGAAGCATTAAAATTTATATCTATTCCTGTGCATTCAATACTTCAAAACACATAATTAGCCCACAGCAAGTTAAAACATCACCATAAATTAAAAAATAATGTTTGCTGTTGCTAATGGATAAAAATGTTACTTTTCTCAACCATGTCACAAACTACCATGTACATTGTTCAGGCACATCCTGAAGCATCATCAAGCCTTTTTATGTCTGTCCATACTCTTAAGTCTAGAGATATATGAAGTCAGATTTAATTATTAATGTCACACTATCTCCCATCTGGTTGTTCTTCATGATAAGACACAAGACAAAAGCACTTTACACATGCACTTGCTTTTAGTTTTTAATTAGTCCAAAATAAGAAAATATTCTTGACAATCATAAGGTAGTGAGAAACCAAGACAAAGCCTACTTGATGTAAAAATTAAAGAAATCCTTACAATTGGAAATAAATGCTTTTTGTTGCATTAAATTCCCAATCCAACAGAGCAGATAGCTAGTAAGCATCAGATGGTTAAGGTCTTAACAACAAAAAAGTAATGCCCAGTCTTTCAACAACAAAAAAGCAAATTTTAATTAATTCTTTCCACACAGAATGCTTCATTTCCAGCTAGGTGCTTTTCCACAACTGGAACTTCCCAGATGGCAATATACTTCTTAAAATTTTTCTTCTATTCCCACTCAAAACATATGAAATTCCAGGTTTCTTTGAGGAGCAACCTTGCAATCCTATTATTTACCAGTGTCATTAAATTATTCATAAAATTGCAACAACGAAAGACCCACAATAAACAGCAACTTACTTCTAAATTAGGATTTTCAGCAACTGCTGTCAGAACTACCCTGCTGGCCAAAGCTTCTGACTGAACAATTGTCTCGGCATCTGCAGAAACTGGCCAAGATGAAACATTGAGGATACACTGGAAGATCCCCGAACGGGAAGGCAAGAAAAGTATTTTCAGGTCGTTGGTAGAGTAGGGTCCTACAATGGTTTTGTTCTTGAAAACCAGACATTGATATTTCATAGGATCCATCTGAAAAACAAAGTACCTGTCATTTTCAAACAGGCCTTTTACCAGAAGACATTTCCTTTCCAAACACCACATTTATCTGGCACCACTGCTTAACACAGACATTTCATATATAGTTCTCCTCCATTTAATTCCAACACCTTCATATTCATAGTCCATTTGCATCCTGTTCAACTGCAGGCCTTTTCTTTTAATTGAAACAGAGAAGTCAGCCTGAAAATTGCTGAGGTTTCTTTCTACCATCAGTGAAAGATTGACACTGGGAAAATTAAGTAAAATCCTGATTTTTGAGAAAGAACAGCAGTGTATCTCAAAGTTGACTGAAAAAACATTGGTTTTAATCACACTGTGCAAACAATTCCATATATTTATTCATGGAAACAACTGTAAAGCAATTTAATTTAAAAAATCACCTCTTGATACAACAGAATCACTGGTAACAGGAGCTTGCATAAAAGCCCTATGAAGCTGATTAGAAAATTATGCAACAAATCCTTATTCTCATATACACACACACACACACATATGTATACACACACGAACACACAGAATTGTGGCCGGATGTTCTTTAAAGAGGAATATTCTAAGAAATCATAGTCCTGGAAAGACACATGCTACATCTGCTGGAAAAATATACCTGAGGGATGTGAACAGAATTTCTAAGACTTATAAGCTGCAATATTTAAAGCAAATAATTGTCTGCTATTCCTCAATAATATGGATCATATAAAAAGAGCAAGAGCCATATTTAAAAAAAGAAAAAACCAATACTTTATACAATCTACAGCTGAACTGAACTGTTGACAGTATTGCATAGTTTCAACAGATTAGCTAGATAAAGAGTAGTCTATCAAAAACTAAAAAGAACAGAAAAAACATCTAACTGAAGTTACCAGGTATCAAACTGCCAGAAGCTCAAAGCATCCTATGCTTGTTCTGTTGTTATATTCTTCTCTATTAAGTGTATTCATCAATAAAAGAAATTAAATCATTCTGACAGACCTCGAATCTAACTCATTCTCAAGTTCTTAATATATTTTACTTCTGGAACTATTAGTATGAAAACAGAGGTATATAGAATTTAACAAAACTGAAGTGCCAGACAGCCTATTTATGGCCTACAAGCTACCTAACAACCAACAGAACAACACATCTAGCTTGAAGCATGCTCTAAATATTTCTCATTTTCCATCATTTAAGATCTCCTGATCTCAAGAAAAAGAGGAGCAAACTGCCAAAAATGTTTCAGCAGTAACAGTCCTCAGCATGAATGTTTTCTGGCCTAGGGCTGACTTTTCTTGCATACACAGAGGTGGGAATGAATAACTCAAACCTTCCAACACTTCATGCACACAATACAATTCTACAGATCAATCACCTCCGTGTGGCTTTTATCTCACAAAATCTACTTGTTGGAGGAAGTCTGGTAGCCTGGCCAAAAAAAGTAGCATTGCTTTTGTGCATATTAACTATAAAACAGGGAAAAAAAATCATAGATCTGTAAAGAGGGCCTTGATTTTACATATGATATCTGGTAAGATTACATTATTATTCAGTTTAATGAAAAAAAAAAACCACCAAAAAATACCAAAACTCTTACCTTTTCCCCATTAACTGAAACACTGCGTATTCCAATGTTGACCTGCAACCACCGGTCAGCTGGATTATAAACACTAAGAACTGTCTGCGATGCAATTCCCACACAACAGGCATTAGGGAACTTCAGTTCTTCTGGTACTTTTATATGTCCTTTGGAAGAAAATATGCTCCTGTTACAAGTACTCAGAAGCAAATCAGCACTCAGGCTGCCACTCAGTTTATGAACTCATCTGATAAATGCTTCATTATGGCAAGGAAATATTTGACTCCTACAATTCTCATAAGAATGTTTTCCACAAACATGAATTTGAAATTTCGATCATTTCTAATTTGTATATTAAAGTTCTACTGTCACAAGAACAAATACTTATGGAAATAGCACATTCCATACAGACCCGCAAAGTGTATATATATATATATATATATATATATATATATATATATACACACACACACCTGATATAAAACACTCAGTGGCCACAATTTAATTAGCACTAGCCCATCTCAGAAAATGTGAATATTACTATTACAAAATATTGTTAGTATAAAAATAGGTAAGGAGTATTTCACTATTTTAAAATGCACTAAGATAAATGCTTTGGAACAATCAATAACCAAGCTCTAAACTGTCACCGTTTCAACTCTTCAACCCCATTAGCTTGTCATTTAGGCTGAAAGAATTAGCCAGAAAAAAAAAGTATAGCATAAAACAACTAACAAGATTCTAGGTTAAAAGAAGTTTTTAAAATTAAATAGTAATTTGTGTTACTTAGGTTTAGTGCTAAGTCTAGATACCAAGTAATAAGCAGAAAGGACAGAGGACACTTGGCAGCTTGTCTTTTCCTTCAAAACCAGCAAACAGTTTCAATCCCTCCATGGGGTTCAACCTTCTTACTAGTTTTGGCCACTGACTGCTAACATCAAAATAGGCTGGAAATAGAAATGTCCTCTACTTTCCAGATAAAACACAATGGAATTTCAAGAACATCACTTGTCTTGCCTAGTGTGAACTACAGTTAGGATTTTTTTTCCTCCTGTGAAAGGTAGTTCTAGATCCTTTACACAAGCACAAAGCTACTTAATATTGATGAATGCTGAAATTCTTCTAAATTATGAGAAAAGTTTTTTAAGACCATTAGAGGAGCTGTAAGAATAGACACTGAAGTCAGAGAACAATATTAAATAAGGAAAACTAGTAAAAAGGTTTGCATAAAGAATAATTGCAGTCACACTTAGTGCCATCTTAATTTACTATAACATAAGCAACATCACTATCAGCAGTCCTATCCACAGCTGTATTTCAAACACACTGTAAAAATCATGCTCACCAATACCAGGTGACTTCGATAACTCCCAATCCCTTCCACCAGCTCCAAGAGGTTGTCCAGTACATGGTTTTATATTTAAGATATTATTATTCCATGAAGTACTGTGTGGATTATAAAGTGAAGCTGCACCCAAAAAGCCAGGACCAATATTTGGACCTAAAGGAATTCCTAACATAAGTGGATTCTCAATGTGTCCTGCTGGGATACCAGAACAAGGAAGCCCAGCTGGAAGGCCAAAACCTGCAGAGCTGCAGCCATGAAACTGAGACAGAACTGCATTTCCTGTAGGTTGTTTAGTTCCCAGATGCTGTTGTGCAAAAGGAGTTGTTGCAAGACAATGTCCTGTAAGCAAAGTGGGGACAGAAGAAGAAATTGCTTGACTCTCAGAGGTAGTGACATGGGATTTAACAGTGGATATATGAACATGATGTTCACCAGATGAGTTTTGATTGCATGGCAAACAGGTGTTTAATCCAGAATAAAGAGGTAATACATTATGAGATGGCAATCCTTGTCTCTGTGCTTTGTTTGTTTCATCCTGACACACTTCCTGTGCATCAACGTTGACAGAAAGTGGCGGAAAGGTGCAGAGTTTACTTGGTAAAGCTGATTTAATATGGTGTAGGTCCTCATGATTTGCTGGTCCACTTGAAGGAATAAAGGGAAGCTGATTCATCTTCAGAAAACCTTCTTTGAGCACTTCCTGGTCCAGTATATTATGAGGTTTTCTTTGAAAACCAGCAAGCTCATTTTCTTCTCGTTTCTGGTCAATATTAAGTACTGCTTCTTTTCTGTTTCTTTGGCATGAGCGGTCTTCTAGATTTTCTTTTCTATGTTCCTGAGGAGGAATTGGGCTGGCCTGTATTATTGTTGTGCTCAGTTCAGCCGCATCTTCACCCTAGTAAACAAATATTACATGCAGTATTACATATTTTAGAAAAGCAATAGGGTACGTAAGACACACCTAATTCTGGTACTGCCTGGTCAGGAAACTTTCCTGTCTGATCATTATTAGGACTGCCATCCAATATAATCAAGTTTGTCTTGTCTGAAGTTTTGCTTTTTTAACTGCAACTCTTCACCCTGAAAAAGAAAACCTGTAGCTTCAACCTGTCTGCTACCCTTAAGACACATTCTACTGCATCTGGCTGAGATGGAGCTGATTTTCTTCACAGCAGTCTCTGTGGTGCTGTATTTTTATATTTGTGTTCAAAACAGCATTAATAACACATCAGACATACTAGCCAGATTAAAAAAAAAAAACAAACAAGAAACTGAATGGCCTTGAACCAAATCAGTAACTGAAAAGGATTTGAGATGAATGAAAATGCACTGATACAAACATTTTCTTTGTGTGCTCACACCAAGAAATTATTGAAGCCCAGAGACCTGTCATTTTGACAGGTATGGTATAGCTGGAATGAGCTATATTTATATTTACACAGACATGCATGTAAGTCAGTAAGGCTCTTCAGGTTTCATACGTCTGGCTTTTAAAGTTCCATCCATGATTACACACACTTTGGAAGGGGGGAGACGTAACAGATTCCAGATTCTAAGGAATACACAAATTCAGATAAAAGATTGCCAATTATTTTAATCAATCTAAGACTGCAAGTCTGAACACAAATTTAACCCTCAGTGTACATTCTTTTTTAAACCAGTAAAAACAGTCAGAATGACTGTCAGAGGTAGAAAATTATAGTTTCAGTCCCGAAAAAGTAGTACAAGCTACATTATATTAAAATTTCTCCAGAATAAAAACAAACCAGGAAAATTATTCTCCTAACAGCTGAAGCTGAACAGCAAGGGAGCCTCAGGTGTGATGAAAACAATCAAAATACTACTGGAATACTGCAGCACATTCCAAGAACAGAATGACTTAATGAGAACCTATAAAAAAAAATTAAAGGAAAAAATACATCAACTCAAACTTTTTCAGAAGTTTCTAGTTCTTTGACTTTTTTTACTATGTTTGTATTTATTAGTGTGTGTGCATTTAGCACAGGTGATACCAAAACTCAAATTTCTGAATAACGCAGAAGCTGGAGTTATGCACAGCATAACTGTCCCTATGCACAGCATATCCTAAACTGTTTGAAAGCTCTTAAGGCTTTTCTAATTTAGAATTACTTTGACCTATAATTTAGGGGCAAAGGTGAGGTGCTGTTTTGTTCTTCTTACCCAGTATGTCCCTGGACTATGTATCACTGCTGAGTTCTTACAGGTACTGCCAGATGCAGAGACATAGGTTAACCTGCTCATGCTTGGACTCGAATAAACAGACTGAGGTACCACATTCTCTTTGCACGGAGATTCCTGACAATGTGATGGGCAAGTAAAGTCCACTTCAGACCTGAAAAAGAGATTCAAAATATGCCAATATTAAAATAGATATTTTTAATGCCATCAAGAAAATCAATGTTACCCATTATCTATATTATTCTAAGTCAACTTAATTAGCTGCTCTGTTAAATGCTAGCCAGTAGAAATGAGAAATCAGCTCTCAATTAACCTTTACAAGCTCTGCCTTTGATGTACATAAAACACATTTTCATTCTATATAAATCCGTATAGGTAAAGCATCAGAATTCTACAGCTGACTCAGATGCTAAGACCACAGAAGCAACACAACTTATTAAAAGAGGTGAATTGATAGACTTGTATCTAACTAGATTAAAAAGTCAAACAAAATCATTTAACCTCCCAGGCATCACACATTAGTTCCCTATTCACTGTTGAGATTCTCTTCATTTCAAATAGCTGAAAACTCAGGATCTCTCAGCACTTTGTTCAATAAGAAAAGCTAACATGACAACAGTTAAAATCATTGACAATTTTAACTGGAAAGCCTGCAAAAATACATCTTCTCCTGCACATATTAATTTCTGAGAAATGCCAGACAGCCTGTAATTCTAATAACACATACAAACACAAACAGCAGTTATAACAAACAATGAAGTTGAAAGTTAAGTCAGGGAAATCAGTTGCCTCATTTCATGAGATTGCACACAACCATTAGCTACTGGCTATGTTTGTGTTTAAGACTACAGAATTAATTTAGTTGTAATCTTATGACACTTACTGTTATGGGAGTTCATTTAAGAAACACTGTTCTTTCAGTTGCTAAGGAAATCTTAAACCTTGGACACAAGTATGTATCAAAATAGTCAAAAGCAATACAAATATTTCTACCCACCCTCTCCCACAACAAGCAATGCTACAAATCAGAGAAGCAAATGGAGCAAAATACATCTAAGTTTAAAAATACATCTTCATCGGTCTATACAATGTCCAGCTTAGTGTATAATGAAGTCTTAGCCTAATAAAGATCACAGTCACCATTCAAACTAACACATGATCCCCCAACAATCCTCATGAAGCACTAATTCTTATAACCTGCACCAAGAACTTTACCCGGAAAACGCTGTTCCAGAAGTCTCACTAGGAGAAGAGTGAATGAGAGGTGAAGTTGAAGGTCTGAAGCTACACTGCTCACCCTCCCGAGTTAAGTCACATTCAGGTAGAATGGATTTATGCTCTGGCAAATGAACAAAAAATTAAACACCATATTTATTTATGGACAGGAAACAAGTTTACTGACAAAAAAAAAAAAAGCTTTTTCAACAACTAATTGTATTTATATAGGTTTACTTACCAGTACTATTCTGGAAAGTTGGGGAGAGCTTCTCAAAAGTTACATGTTTTGCATTCCCCCTACCAGGAGTACTGGCATCCTTGCTTCTCTTCTCTGTATTTTGCTTCCTCTCATCATTGTTCAATTTCTGCACAGGCTTGGCTGTTGTAGGACTTACTGAGACATATTTACTAGATTGCTTGGCAGGTCTTAAGTTGCTGAGGGACAGAGTATTTCCTGCACTTCCCTCCACCAAATCATTACATGGTTCAGGAACAGCATTTGCTGCTTGATCTACTGATTCTCTACCTGCTCCTATACTACATGTATTAGTGAGATTGCTGTTCTGGTACGCAAGCAGATTTCGCTGTTCCACTTCCATTTTTGCTGCTGAGAGAATTCCATATGTGTGGGCTTTGTTTTCATTAAGTGTCTCTGATCTAATATCAGCATCCATTGACTGTAAATGTTTACTATTTACCAAATCTGACAACTTCTCTGAACATTGAACGTTATCTGCAATTACATCTCCGTGGCTGGGAATACCAGACAGACTAGAAAAATTCTGACTGTCACTTTCTTCATTAAGAAAATCAAGCAATCGCTTCTCTATTCCCTGCTCTTTGCTATGATGATTCATCCAGTCTTCTACAAGAGCATACTTATGTTTATCTTTACCCAGTAAAAAGGTATCAGATGTAAGGTTCTGGACAGATGCTTCATGTTTCATGACACTCTCATATTCACTTTCATATCTGTTCTCGTTTGTTTTTTTGAGATATTTTTCCATATCAAATGCGCTATTTTCCTCATTTCTGGATAATATCTCATTAGCAGAGAGTTCAGCCTCTTTAACAACTCCAGGTAGGACATGTGTTCTTTTACTTTTATTGGAGAGTGCCATCATCATAGCAGCTAGCTGGGAAGGTTCAGCACTGGAGGAAGCATTAGCAATAGCATTTGCAATTGTGCTGATACTCAAGACAGAGTCAGAATTATTAGACAAGCTATCCTCGAACTTGCCTTTATGAAGTCCATCCTACAACAACAAAAAAAAAAACCATAAGCACCACTGTAAGAATTATTTTGTTTAATGTTTTGTTTCATGTTTGCATTTCAGGTTATGGCAATATATTAACATTCTTCATTGATGCATTTTTAAACACCTGCCTAGAAGGAACACTGCAACAGATATTCTCAATCTCCTGATTTTTCAAGTCTAATTCCCAAAGGCTTCTCTAGATTAAATAAGTATTGCTTACTAGGAAGCCTTAGTTCCTGTGAAAGTTTTCAAATCCTAAAATGCTTTATTTAGTTCAGTTGAAATAACTGGGAGTAAAATCCTATCAGGGACAAACAGCACAGAAGTTACAATAACCAAACATACAGTAACTTTCCAATTAACTTGAAATCATCTGCCTCTACAGAGAGAAGACACAGCTATTCCTACAGATTTTTCTATTATTCAAGTCTAATTTCTTTAGTTTTCACATTGGCTACTCTTAGCAAAGGGCACAGAGTAGGTAGACAGTTATGTCCAGAGCCCAGTTTCTTTCTGTCTCTCTCAGATGGACATGGACTCACGAAGAATTGAAAACACCTGTCCTCCTGTAGATATGCATGCATGAACTTGACAACATCCTCATCAAAACACAGAGAATGCATGGAGCAGACACATACACCTTGACTGGACTGGAAAACAAGCTGAACTGCCAGGCTCAAAGGGTAGATCAGCAGCACCAAGTCTATGAGGAGGCCAGTCACTCTCTGGTACAGTACCCCGGAGATACTCTAGCCAGGGGCAGTACTGTTCAACAACTTCATTCATCATGTGGATGATTAAGCAGAGGGCACCTACAGCAAGTTCCATCATCATACAAAATTGGGAGGTGCGGCTGATACACCAGGAGAATCAGCTGTCATTCAGAGGGACCTCAACAGGATGGAAAGATGGGCTGAGAAGTTCAAAGGGAAATGCCAAGACCAGCACCTAAGGAGGAATAGCCCCAGGCCCCTGTACAGGCTCTGAGCCAACCAGCTGGAAAGCAGCCTGGCAGAAAAGGACTTGAGGGTCCTGGCAGACTTGAGGGTCCTGGAAGTTGACGACAAGCCAGGCAAAGAAGCTCAACAACATCCTGGCCTCCATAAGTAGGAGTGTTGACAGGAGGCTTAGGGAGGTGACACAGGCAGGGAAGGTAGGTATCAAGGACTACCAAACTAAAAAGACACTTTTTTCAGACTTGAACCACATTTATGTTCTTAAATTCTATCAACTAAAAGATTTTATTCCAATGCTAAAGATAAGCTGTTGCATTGAAAAAATAGAAGGGGAAGACGCAGCTGAAATTCAGAAACTTGATCACAGAACATCAACAACCTACGAGCTGACAGACTGAAAAATTCCAAAAGTGAAGTTGGAAGAAAAAGGAAAATGAGATGGTGATAGTAACACCTGACTTACTACAGGATCATGCCATTCCAATGAAACTGTCCTAAGAAACAGTGAACCTACTAGGATTCAAGTGATCAATATAAAAAGCAGTGAGCTGATGTGAAAGTATAAATTTAGCTGTATTCAAAGAAACAATAATAACTGGAGTAATTTTGTTTCAGTTCATAGTTGCACTTTAAAGAAAAATACGAGAGCAGTACCTTTGCTTTAATTTTGGTGGCAGTTTCTGTATTAATATTTTCATGTATTCCAGCAGCTTTATCCGCCCTATGCCCTGAACCTTCAGAGTTGGTAAAATTTGCATGTTCTCTTGTTTGTGCTTCTAAGCCACCTAACAACATCAAAAAAAAGGAATTAATTTACAGTAAGGAAATTGTCTAAAAACCTGCATTCTTAGATGCACATGCTCCCTTAATGCCCCATAGAAAAAAAGAGCTGTTCCATAACTACCTGAAAACACCTCAGACAACTGTGAAATCTCTTCGCCGATGTCACCTCCTGATGAACCAGACCGCATTAGCAAAGGAACAGGCTGCCTTTTCTTTGGGGACGTAATATAGTAACCAAAAGATGGCTACAAAAAATATCCCAGAATACAGCATGAGTAAATTTAATAATTAACAAATAGTTCAATGCACTTGCAAAGCAGTTTTGGCCCACAGTGCTTGCTTGGTATAGCTCTCATACCACTAAGAAATAACGTGTGCCTCCTAGCATTGCAAATGCCCAGTCTAACACATACACTGCACCTCTCATTCATACATAAAATAAACTAAAAACTGGCATGGCTGAACCCCAGCTAGTGACTAAGTACCACACAGCTGTTTGCTCATTCCCCACCTCCTCCCGACAAAAAGAATTGGAAAGCATAGGCAAACCTTGTAGGCTGAGATAAAGACAGTTTAATAACTGACATAAGAATAAATTATAACTATTATACTGGTAATGAAAACGAAGGAGAGGGGAATAATATCTAAGAGAGACAAGCGGTGCACAACACAATTGCTCACTGGCCACAGACCAATACCCAGCCTGTCCCTGAACAATGATCCATGGCTGTGAGCCAACTCCCCCCAGTTTATAGACTGAGCAGGATGTTCTAGGATACAAAATATCCCTTTGATTAGTTTGGGTCAGCTGTCCTGGCCATGCTCCCTCTGAGCTTCTTGTGCACCTGCTTCACTGGCAGAGCATGAGATACTCCCAAGTCCTTGATTTAGACTAAGCACTACTTAGCAACAACCAAAACATCAGTGTGTTATCAACATTATTCTCATACTAAATCCAAAACTAAGCACTGTACTAACTGCTACAAAGAAAACTTCACTCTATCCCATTTGAAACCAGGACACAACTTACTTATACCAGTTACTCAAAATTAAGAAATAAAGTACATATGCTCACATCATCTCTGCTGAAGGCATGGTCTGCCACTAAGGCTTGGAATGCTTAGGACAGACTCTAACTCTGCCAACTCCAAAAATTCCTCATGACACAAGTGAATTATAACAAGCATGTGTGATTACTTCTTCCCATTGTACACACTTCTCCACCTTTTTCTTTTTTTTTTTTTTTTTTTTGGCATGAAACACAGATGAGACCCTGTCTACCAACAGCAGAAGAGAGAAGTGCCAGGTATCCACCACATGCAAGAAGCATACAGATGTTGGTAAGTCAGAATCTAGATGGTTACATTTTTACTGAAGTCGGGCATTGCTCAGATAGCACATCAACTATCAATAGCCACTCAGAGATGCCCTCATTGTGTAAATATCCTTGTCTGACCAGCATTTCACTCAACAGTGTGGGTAATTTGCTGGACCTCCAACATGCCTCCTGTATATGGTGTACAATTTCCCCTCTAATCCTACACATAATTAGTTCCTGACCAAAAGATGAAGATCAACATTCAACAAGAACACCAGGCAGCACTTCACACCAGAAATTCCAGTAGGAAACCAGTCAACTCACACCTGTAACACACAGAATTTCCTTCCTTAATCAACTTAAAAGATTAGACCTGATAAAGAACTGGTTACAAAATAACAAAACTAGTGCTAGCTATTGTTTGTCTCGTCTTTTCCTTGTTTCTCAATATGAACATTTAGATACATACCCGTTTCACATCACTGCCTCCACCGAGACATCCAAGAGCTTCGGATCTCTGACCAAAGAATTCCCCCAAAGACAAACGTAAATAGCTGGCATCTTTATGAAGATCAGATGTTCTTGACAAAATGAAGCTATTAGCAGATCTCCATGAAGTATTTGCTAGTTCATTTGCATTTGGACTGCCTACCTTTCCTGCCTGCAGACATAGAGATTTCAGAAGTTGCAAATTGTAAATAAATTAGGAAACTATTTTGTTTACATCGAGGTCATTAGTTACCTGAATAAGCCTGTGTGCTTTCTCAAATTCTTCCTGGTCTTGTGCAATCATAGCTGCTGCTTCAGCTTGAAACCAAAGAGAACATTTATTAAAATAAGGCAAAAGTTGCTAAGTACTGTCATTACTATTTGTCATCATTAAACTCAATTTGATGGAAAGTTGTTGCACATACAGTTCTAGACCTGAGACAGTCTGGGGCACACTAGGAGTTGTTCAATCCCAGTTTGGGAAGAAAAGTTATATGAAATTAGCTTTAAAGGAGTACTTTCTGGATCTTTAGAAACCAAAGTAAAATCAGCATTTAGCTAATTAACTTAGCGGTGAATAAAGAAAGTTTCTAACAGCCCTAGCCCCAAGCTAAACTGTAACTTTTTATAGGTTACAATATCCATACTAGCTAGAACCAAACATCATATGGCTAACTCAGATCAAACCTTTACTGTATTTGGGGCTGCAAATTTTTTCCATCAAGGAGGTACCTTTGAACTGGAGCAAAAGAAAAATACTGGCTTGAAAAACCCACGCAAATTAACATGCCAAATAACTCAGTCTTACTTTTGAATTCAAATGCCTGTACTATTTTCACAATTACCATCTATGGAACAACTAACATTTAAGAATCCCTTCACCAAAATGTTGTGAAAAACTGATCAAGAGATACTACTCTACCACTTGATTGCAATGTTAACGCATCATTAAGTTCATCAAAACTTCAAAAATACATGGCCTGGTACACAGAGCAACCTTAGGCACAGAGGGCACAGGGCAGAAGCTGAGAATGGATTCAAACTTGTAAGGTGAATACAGCTGTTGCCCATAAAATTACTCATGGGAAGTCACAATACATACTCTGAGGAAAAAACAAAGTGGAAGTACATCTTTATTGAGCAATCCAAACTCACCTCCTAAAAGCAACCTGGCACTATCAATGACACATTGTTATAGCAAATTGAACTCTCAGTCAGCAGCAGTTCTTTACCTTCTATATGAGCCCTACAACCTCCAGAGTCTTTCTGAAGCACCCAACACTGTCAAGTGAGCACTCCTGCACTATTCCATACAGGAACACACTGTGTGCAAAGTTTGCTGACAGAGAGACATGTCATAAATGAGACCCCCAAAGAATGAGATGTAACATGTCCTTTCTGTACTTAAAAATAAAATTTCTTCAGCTGTCAAACCCTGCAGACAGACAAGCAGACTAGCAGCCAGAAAAATGCCAACCACATGGAATCTGTCAGTGTGTCATCATCTACCAAGCAAAGAGGTAAGCTCATTGACTTGAAAGCAGAAGTGTTTCAAAATCTATCAGGGGGAAAAAACTAAGCAGCCTTGGAAAAATTTACAACAGTCAAATATTCTCATCACTTGACAATTCAAGTCTAACATTCAGAAGGTGTCTGAAATATAAGGGCTTTCGAAAAATCATGGAAGAGTTCTACGTTACTGACATAGTGGATGGGAAAGTATCTCCCAAATGATATGATATAAACTTGAACCATTAGAAAACCACTACAGTGTTAAAAACATTATTTCAACCAGTCAACCTTGCTTGATCACTCATTCAAAATAAAGTCTTAGAACAGCATTTGCTTTGAAAGAAAGAAGAACCTTGAGTGGACCATGGACATCTTGAAAATACATTAGCCCATCTACATGTCAGCTTTAGAAACTAGAAGAGATTAGGAGAAATGCTGTTGCACATATTGCTTGAATTTCTTATGAAACAGATGAGCAGATGACATTTTGGTGCTAAGGAATGAATTAGTCCATGGCACTGAATGTGTATTACCCAAGCCTGTATGACAAATACATAGACTCTCATGAAGATCAGTCTGACACAGCTTAAGGATAATAAACCATTTTTAAAGTAAACAGAGGTGCAAAAAGTTTGGAATTCAATGGAAAATAAGAATCCCAAAGTCCCTCAAAAAGCTCCAACATTTTTTCAGTACCATTTTTCAGCATCAAGACATTCCCAAAAAAATCGGCAGCTAACCAATTCAACACTTTCAAGTCTCTCAAATTTTGACACTGTATTGACATTGTATTTGATTTTGTAGTAATTCCTCATTGATAATTATTTCCTCTCTTATAAGTCTCATGCAACACAAAATTACTCTTCTCCTTTTCTTGCAAGAAAGGAAAACAATCACTGAAGTCCACAGGAAGAACTGCGGAAGTGAGAGGAGTTGCTTTATCTCACACAATAGGTACCAGTTAGGATGCTTTTTGTTTTAAAACACTCTTCATGGAAAAAGTAGGAAACACAGAAAGAAACCATGAACTATAAATAATCATATAATATCACTACAGACTACTATCAGCATCAGCTTTCAAATAATTTGTAGGATCTAAAACCTGGAGGCTTTGCAACACCAAATACTGATTTGTTTAAGGGAAAAAAAAAAAGGGAAGAAAACTTATTTAACATTACTACGGACAACAAAAGTTAACTGAAAAAAAATATGATTACATACAGCCAGTAACGAACTCCTCATTTATTTTATCATCTTCAGACATATTTAAATGTTGTTCTTCATCAAATGCAGTATAATATGCAAGATCAGTCACCCATTTGCCCTCCTCATTTTGATAGACAATGCTGTGTGGTAAATCACCTGAAAGATACATCAAATGCTACATTACAGATTAAATTAAAAAAGGGATATGGCAGAAGTTGCTGCAAGCTGAAGTTGCTGCAACTGCAAGCTTAAACTCGTTTCATCAGCAAATAAGTAACAGTTACGTGCAATATACGACAATCAGTGTTTCTGAAAACAAAAGCAAGTCAGAATTAATTCATGCTACACTGTTTTTTATTAACAACTCCTACAACTAAATAAAAATACCTAGCTTACAATTTTATTTATTTTTCCATGCAACGGAATATGGTCACAATTGACAGGTTTAATGTAAAGATATGTTGTATGTAAAGCATCCTACCTTTGTCTGTTGTAGCTAAACTTAAGTTCTCACAGCTGTCCCCAGCTGGAGACAGGTAAGTATCAGGAAGACCACCTTTACATTGAGTTGCATCTGCCTGTGGTGCATTTGCACTAAGAACCTCAGGAGTGGTGTCATGTCCCAAAAATCCTCTTGCTGTGTGTAGCACTTCTGCATCAGAAGAAGCAGCCTGACAGACAGAGGACTCTACTTCTTGTTTTGGAAGGACATCTGAGACATCAGCTTTATGGCTGTCCATACACTGGGAATGCAGGGAATCTAATGGCAATGCAGCAGCTATGCAGGAATCCAGCACATCCCCAGCAGTCATGGAATTCTTTGAAAACAATAATAATTTGAAAAGTGTCAGAAGCACAGATATTAACTGCATGTACTAGAAGTCTAGATACAAAACAGTCCAAGCTGACTATGTTTGAAAAACAGGCCTAGAACCAAAGTGGTATTATTAATTTCCTGTAAAGGAAGGTTGAGTGGTTAGCTAGAGATCGAACAAGTTTTCAATCACACTGCCATCTTCTACTACAGTCTTACTCTATATGAATAATAGGAATTTAAATTGCAATTCTATACCATTTGCTGCACTGCTCTGGGCAGCACTTCTCTTTGCACAGGACATCCAGTTATTCCTTTATTTTGTGAATCTTCATCACTAGCACTTCCAGAGTCTGCTCCAGTCACAGCCCCATAACTGGTAGAATCCTGAAAGTTCTCCTTTAGATAAAAAATATAAAATATTTAGGTTCCACTAGAATAGATATACAAAAGAAAATAACACTACAGGGCCTTTTAGAATGTTAAAAAATTCTCTAGTAGAAATGAGATTAATGGTACTTTTTTCACTCATATGATATTGCCATAGCCAGTACCTCTAGTTAGCCTCTACCACCAAGAACAATAGTTCCTAGCTATGCCAATCCATAGTTGTGCCTGTGCAAGGGCATACACAGCAAGAAGATGGGAAGATCTCTTCTTCCTACTATATCTTCTCATTCCCTTTAACATGGGTCCTGTGTTATTCCCCTTCCCCTCCTGGCTGACCCACTGTTGGATGAGGGCTCCAGATCAGGCTCCAAATAGACTACCCTACTGTCTATCTACAAGGCAGTGAAGCAGGGACATCTTGCACAGAGAAGCCCTGAGAGCAGAATTCTGTTATTCTCACTCTTAAAACCTCTTATCCCTTCCTTCATGCACTGCTGTAATAAATTGCAGCCTATCTAGTCTACTTGTACAGGGATAACATCAATTCCCACACAGCTTGGAAACTCTGATGGCAGTTGGGAAATTTCTGAAATTTCAGAAGCTGCAGTTTAACTGTTTAAATTACACTTTTCCACTCTGGTCAAGCATGAGACTGCCAGGATCACATTGATTGTTGCAAAGCCAAGAAAATGGAAAGGCACTTAATCCCTGGCAACCTGTTTGGAATGGAGCTAACTGTTGCTCAAAAGCAAACTACAAGCCAGCCCATTGCTGCCCTACATTTAACTTCCGCATATTTACCAATTATTTAAGAGAACTATTGACTCTCCTGGAAAGACAAGTCTCTATGTGTTGCTATACACTTAACACCTTGGACATTGCCACGCAAGAGGGGAAAAAAAAAAGTGATTAAAACGATTATATATAAACTCGTAGTATGATAAAAAAGAAGTGCCAGCACGTTGCCTTAATACCTATAGATACAAAAAGATGAAACAAAAAAAAAATGTTAAAACTAACTCTGTTTAGGAATACCAACAAATATAATCACTGAAAGTTTAACATGTTTAAGAGCCATTAGGCATGCTGAGCTTTGAACTTCAAACCTACTTGTAGTAAGACATTTTCAGAAAGCTTCAGTGCCGCACAGCATTCTGAGAGTTTTTGTAGATTGGAATCTCTTCTTATTTCTGGTTGTATCAGCTGCTCAAAATACGCTTCTAGTTGGTTGTCAAATTCTTCATCATCAATCTCATCACCTATGAAAAGAAGAAAATATCTTTTTCACTTTTAACAGACATTTTATATCACCTGACATACTATTAAAACAATTCCATAATTTACATTGAATACTGAATTGCATGATAGAAATAAAAAGATCAGTTAGCTTCACTAGAACTGGAACCCTGAATAGGCAAATATTTCCAGTTAACAGCTACCAACTCCTCAAAGGGCAATTAAAAATAAATTCATCCTCTTGAGTGGTGAAAAAAAAACCCAACAGTATTTCCACTCAGCAAACTATTGACTTAGTTCTTAGATGCTTAACTCTCAAGTGAAGTTATGCAACAAGAAAGAACAAAACAACTTCAAAAGACAGTCATGACATATGTAGATGCCATGGGAGAAATGCAGTAACCCTGCTTTACTGTAAGGGTACCTCATCTCAAAACAGTAAACCTACTGATCACTCTGCCTTCCCCATTGGTACATCCAAGAACATGCCCTGTCATCCTTCATGTCATGGGCAAAGTCAGCTGCATAAATGAAGAAGAGCATGTGTGTCCTTCTGCCGCAGCCACTGGAAGGGCACAAAAAGCTCAAAGCTCGTAGTGATACAGAACTCATGCTCACTTTCATGCCTGCAGGTAAATGAGACTTAAAACTCAGATGTCACCCCACACATGCAGCATCTAAAGAGAGCTGAACTCAAGTGAAAGTCCTTTTTAACTGCATGGGTGTGTACTACTTTTATCTCTACTAACCTAAACTGAAAATGTTGGTAGAGTTAACACTTCATTAAATCAATGCCCACGTTGCCACTTATATCTTTGATTCACAGTACCTGAGGACTGTTGTTTAATTTTTTAGATTGAAATTCCAATTGTGATCTTCTCTGACAAATTCCATAGCCACCTACTACTATTACAATTTTAAAGTAGTCAGTTTTCCAAAGAACAGTTTTCTTTAATATTGTTATATTACTTTTTTATCAAGCACAATCTGATATTAAATACTTAGGTTAAACAGAATCTTTCTTCTCAAGAATGCCATAAACTTTGAGTCAGAATTAAATTCAGCTACCAAGAGTTATAAACACACCTACCAGTGGAATCTTCATCTGTGCTTAGAAAAGATGAGAGTTTCTCATTCTCCAAAAAACTTGAAAGGCTATTGCTAAGCTGAACACTTGAGATAGCACCTTCTACCAGCTTTTCAGAAGGTTCAGATGGACCAACCTGTGAAAAGCACCCATAAAGAAATGTTTCTAGAAATTACTAACTATTGTATGAATTCAGTTAATAAAAAACAATTAATGAGGTTAATAATATTGCAAAACTTCGTATGCACGTATTTTACTTATCCCAGAAAACACTCTAGTTCCAATGGACCTCACCTGCTAGCTTCCAGAATGGATGCATGCAAGAAACACGGGAAGCATAAAAGGGCAATAGTAAAAAAACATCTGATAGACACCAAACTTAAAAGATCTCAAAATAAAGAACTGAACCATTGCACTAAAGTGTTTACATTTGAAAGAACTGTCCTCCATCGTTCACTGAGCTGCAATCCCAAATTAAATGTAGACAAAGACATCTCTCAGTAGTTTCCTGCGCTGTTAAAACAGAGCCTCTTCAGAAACAGAACACACAAATCCAACCTTTGTTGGAAATTTCTCCAAATGAGCACACTGAATTACTCAAAAAGTAGTATTTCAGCTGAATCTAGCTATCAGCAAATACTCTATCTTTTCTATAGCTGAATGATTTTTAAAACCAGCATGATGTAATGTCTGCTATGGATTTAGTCTCATATTCTTTGTGATGAACAGATCATCTTTGACACACAGCAAAAAACCTCCAAGTTCAAAAAGTAAAAAATTTGAAAGGAAAATAAATTATGGTTTTCAGAAGACAGCCTGCAAGCATTCAACTGCATCTCACTGACCACTATGGTCCCTACAAAAGTCAAATTACAGAAAACTAAATCAAAATACTAGCTGACACATTAAGGAGTATGTATTGGACAGGATTTGGTTGCAGCCCAATGTGTGTTTTCTACAAGGAACAGGAGACCTCCCATTCCTGTCTGCATTGGATCTCTGTGACCAAAACTCTTAGCATCTCTAACACAGTAAATAAAAACAGGTGAAGCATAACCCTACCTGTCAATACTAGCAGCTATTTGCTAGCTCTGGATTGTCTACTTCAATTTCCAAAAGCACTACCAAAAAATTCCTCAAAAGATGCTTCACAAGGATAGACCATGACAGGGATAAAATGCAAGGTCCTTACAGTGACAAAGAACTACAAGACAGTGGAAGCTCGGAACAAACAACAATTTTCACAACTGAGGAATATTAGATGGAGTCATGCTCACACGGTACTAATTAAGTGATCTGCAAAATGAAGGTAAAGCGAGTCATGCCAGCACCTTTATAAACTTAAGGTATACACAATATAAGACAATAAACACAGTTCCAGTTCCTTCGTCCTCGTCTCACAGAATTAAATCTATTAGAAGATTAATATTAGAAAACATTTAATTTCACTGTATTCAGAAAAGCTTTTACCTTGCTGTTCTTAATGCCTGAGAGAAAACGTATTCCAGTTGGCAAATCTGAAACATAAGAAAGTGGCATAAGCTGTATTTTAGTAGTAAAACATGAGAACACAACAAGTGCTAACTATTCACTAAGGTTAAACTGAGCCTCTGGAAGGTCTTGGCATACACCATAGAAATAACCCAAACATACAGATTACCAGCACTACAACCTTATATGTTCTTATGACAATTACCTAAAGGATCTTGTTAAAAAGGCAGAGTTTCACCAGAGATAGAACTCTAAAAATTATGAAAGATATTTACTGCTTTAGGGATTTCCACAAGGCAGCACAAGAAAGTAAGGACTCCCAGTTTGTGCTAGCAGAAGGAGGAACAAGTGTTCTGTTCCACTGCTGCATTTTACCTACTGGACCAATTCTTGTTTTGAATCATTTTAAGCAGCTTCCACTTGTCTGTTATACCCACACGTAATCCAGCTGGAAGTCCCACATGACAGAGAACAGTTTATATTTGCACACACAGATTTTAGCAAAAAAGGCTTGTAATCCTTCAGTAATAGGTGTGAATAGAAGACAATTTTCAAACAACAATTTCCAAGTTAAAATCAAGTAATTGAATCTGACTGGCCACTATCAAGTCCAAACACTGGGCAGTCTCAACTTTCCAAAGCATCACTGTTTTGTTGCCAGTTATTGCCACTTCCTCAAGACTACAGTAACAAATGACTGGAGCAAACACTTCCCTGTTAGAAGTGGTTTTTTATAAGGGTCTATTTATGTTACAGGTCACAATACTTTCTAATTGAACATGTTATCTGTCAAAATTATTAATACTTCACAAAACCCTGTAAAAATACTCAAAGCTTGGAAAGGGATAATGTCTATATATTTACTAACTGTATTTACTCAATTTTAAGAGACAAGTAGAATTTATTCACAGAACTGGCATTAGCAAAAACCCCAGACAAGCTTAATAGTAGCCCTGCTATTAAAATATTCTTTTGTTTCCAGTACTCCACCCAGACTTCAGAAATACTTTTCACAGCAAGTTTTCAAAGCTATTTTTTCATGCATAACCTCACTAGAAGTTTCCAACACCTACAGCAGCAATTAAAGACATCTCTTACATGTTGGAATAGGGCAAAAGAAGAGATGCTACTTAAAACATAACCTTGCAGCTTTACACTTACTGAAATAGAAGGGGTAGAGAATAAGCTACATACACTTCTTCCATAAAGTTCCTGGAACTAAGTGTCAGATTACTACTGCATTCTGTTTAATGGTATTACTTAAGGTACATAAGTTACTATACAGCAAACACTGTTTTCACCCAACCACACGTTTCTCTTGTTCTCAGTTTGCTCAAATCCAAGAGATTTTTTTTTCAAAACCAATTTACAATCTGCCATAAAACAGGTGAAAGGGTCAAAAGAAGATATCTGTAGCATAAAAAGCTAATTACGGTGATAATAAGTACATAATTTTTACGCAAATTTAATACCTTCCAATTGCTCAAGAGGCAAAACTTCACGTAAGGTACTTTGACCATGATTTGAATGTTCAGTGACATTCTGAGGTTGCTTTCCATATATTGAGTGGAATTCTTTCAAATTAACACAAGGCGGCTGAGGCTCTTCAATTTGTGTAGCAATTTCCCTAGAAAGAGAATTATTTAAATGAAAAATCAGTTAGCTACACAGACCATCATCTCTTGTAATGAAGATTTGATAAATTCTTCAATTGCTTTGTCTCAGTCTGTTGTTTTCAATGTAGGATAGATTCTAGAGACCTGTTATATTACAATAAAAGAAACCATATCAAAATTACAAGAACTTCAGTTTCACAGTCTGAACCGTGAAACAAATAGTGAGATTTCATGCAAAATATGCCTCTCTACCTATTTGTTCCTCTCTTTCACTTCCATAAAAAGAGGGAAAAGTATAAGGACAAAAGCATCTACTCTGGCCAAGTTCCATGATCCATTTGATTCGAGACCAAGTCAAACACTAGAAGATATTTCACCAAGTCCACAATATCACCAACCTTTTGTTACACTAAATAAGGGACCAAATTATAAAGAACATGAGTTACTAAAATTGCAAGTAGTGAAATTACAGTTTTTGCAATAATGCATGAAATTTATCCTTCACTTCTAGTTTTACAGAACATCCACGCAGGCTTATAAACTAATCATGCCAGATGGTAAAATTTCATACTTTTGCTCCAATATTTTAAATAAATAAATGAAACTAACATTTGAAAGTCTAAATCATAGCTATCCTATGTTCTGTGTTTTGTTTTCTTACTTGAAAGCAATCAAGACACTGACTCCCTCTCAATCTTACGTTTTTTGTTTTGATAGGGACACACATAAAATTGATAGGGCTCAATTTTATCAGTGAGAAAGGCACACAGCGCAGTTTCTGTCACAATAGGAGCACATCTGGCCTTGGTTAGAATAACCTATGCAACAGCTTCCACCACTTCCACCACTCAGCAATGCCTTCTCGAGTGTGTATCACTAACAACTATTTCCTAAGAAATACCAACCACTGAGGCTACAAGGAAGGCAAATTTAATAGAAACTGTTGCTCCTTTCTGTATACAAGCTGCTTGATACTTACTCAAAACATATCTGTATCAGTGCAAAATGCTATTCACACATATGACATGAACCAGAAACAATAGCTTAATTCCAGATAATGTAAAGTGAACTAGATAAATACAGGCCAAATTCAGGTAAGTCAATTAAATAACCATGTTTATGACATTTTAAATTAGTATGACAACAAAACAAAACCTCACAGTTTAGGAAACATCCCTTCGGAAGATTTTGTTCCTGTCACATATATGAAGTCAAATTAATCAAACAGCAGAATGCTGCTCATGTAGGGCTGCACAGGCTAAGTGGCATCAATCACTGAGTGGAAGGCCACTGAGTGCTTCCACGTGGCCTAGCACTATCCCCTTTCAAAAGCCATGGAGGAGCCGGTTTTGTAGGAAAAGCTGCCCAGGCTGCCAAACACTGTAAACTAAGAGGCCAATGCAAGCTGAGCTCTCCTGTTACTGCGGGCCAGTAGTAAAAGCTGGTGTTTTCAACTCTGCAACTCAGTTCTGAAGTAGCCCACCATTAGCCATATAGTACATATAAATCTACATACCAATTTACAGGTATCTTCATTTTAGGACAGAATTAGATTTTAACTACCTCACTTACACGTCATCACGAAAGCAGAGGGAAAATCTTTCCACTGGCTCAGGATGTGACTGACTGCTGCGAGAAGATCCTGATAGAGGTGAATGTTTTCCTTCCAAATAGGACGCACAATCATCAGGAAGCCTGTAAATGTGGGGTGGAAAAACACACATCAGTGTCATTCTAACATGCACTGCTCCTGTTTTCCAAAGAACTGGGGGAAAATCTCATATTTGTGACTACTTATTTCCTGTAAATTAAGTTATTTCAATATTTTAGCTAATCTGTAGTTACAGATACACATACATATCTTGAATACTCCTCTCTAGTCTTCTGTAGCTCTTTAGAGAAATACCATGTTACAGTTTTTAGTGGCTAATAGTGTCCTTCTGGAACACACACTTCTGGAAAGACAGGGTATTAAAGTCTCATCTTACTTGCTGTTAAGTAACAGGACAGCAGTTAAGTACAAAGGCTTCAAGTTGTTACTCTTTGCTCTATTCCTTGCTGAGCAAGTTTTAATTCTTATATATAACATTAGCTCTTACAGATTCTAAAAGGAGCTAAATTCAGGTAAGTTCAGTGAACAGTTAACAGAGAATACACATGTAAAAAATACATTATTCTCTACACAACTTCAAACTCAAGTCAAGTAAGCTGAAGAGACGAGTTAAAAGAGACTTGACTGTTACAGTTTAAAAATTAAATTACTTTTGAAGAGCAGTTTTTGTAAATGTTAAGTATAGTACTAGTAACAAATTAAATGCAAATTTTACACCGGTAATACAGACAGTCCTATGTTTGCTGATTGCTGAGACAGTGATTAGTAAATAGTTTTATCACCAACCAAGTAATCTGTGGAATTAATTTTTGCTGTCCAGAGTTAAATACTTCAAGTGGTTTTTTTATATAAACGGATGGCACTGACTGAGACCTCACCTGTTGTCACCGCCCTCTTGGCTCCTGGCAACAGTGGAGGCCGCCACAGGTAACCCCGGGTTGGAAGAGACGGTGACATTCTCAAAGACGACACTCGCGCTGCTGTTCAAGGAATGGCCCAAGTAGCTCGGGAACGTTTCGTCGGCGATATTCCTGAAGTCTTCCATCATCCTGCACACACTGCCTGGAACAGCACTCGGCCCGGCAACACCATCAGCGCCGGTCGGGCAGCATCTGCAAGCAGGATCCAAACAGCTTCACACTTACACAAGGCAACGCACTTCATTCACACATCACTGCCAGTATTCATGGGCAACCCACAATCGTGCTCAAGAACCACTCCCGGTCCTCTCCCACCACGGCTTTTGGGGGACACGCTTTCACAGCCCTCTCGGAGCGCCTGAGAAGAGAGGTGCTCCTGCGAGCCACAGAAGCGCCGCTGCCAGACGCGCCAGCCTATATTTAGCCTGTAAAGCCGCCCGGGCCGAGGCAGTCCCGGCCTGCCTTCCTCCCTCCGCGCCCTCCGGGGAGCACCTGAGGCGACACCAACTCGGTGTGACCGCGGGCCGCGGCGGGAAGGCTCCCGCTGCTCACCGGCCACGTTCCGCCGCGCAGCTCGGCGACGGGGGAGCGCCTGAAGCCGGTGACCGCCTTTTTGTCCAAACAGGAGGGGGGGAGATGGGCTCTGTCCTTCCCCAGGGTCCCAGGCGCAGCAGGAGCGCCGGCGGACAGACGGATCGACCGCCAAAACTCGGGATCCGCCCCCCGCCGCCGCCGCAGCGCCCCCCAGCGGCCGGGCGGGCACCGCTCGCTCCCCTGGCGCGCGGCGGAAACGGCCGCGCGACCGACCCGCGCCCCGCGCGGCCGGCGGCGCGTGCGCAGCGGCGTCGCGCGCGCCACCCGAACTTTGGCGCTCCCTCCCGCGCAGCCAATGGCAGCGCCCCGAGCCGAGCCGGCCATTGGCGGGCGCGGCCCGCGGGGAGCGAGCGCGTTCGGGCGGCGGAGCCGGGCACGCTGATTGGGCGCTGCGCGCGCGACCCCGCCCGGCCCCGCCCCCGGCGGCGTCACGGCGGCCGTTAGGCGGGAACGGGGGTGGCTGTGCCCTGAGGGAACCGGCGGCCGGGCGCGGTGTGGGGAAGGGGATGATATAATCGGTGTATTTTGTCTCAGGTATTTGCTTTCAGCCCGGCCAGCCTTGGATCCCGTACCAGTGAGTAGCTCGGGGTCTTCAGGGAAAGGGCCGCTGAACATCCCACCCTGCTGTCCCCCTTCCTACCTAAAAATAAGGGAAAAAAAGTTCTATTCGGATTAATTCATGCGACGTAGTTTATATTCTCGGCTTTGTTTTCTGTCCCGTTTTTGCCATCGGAATCAGTTAGATGAGGCTGAGAAACAGAATCGTTGGGGGTGGAAGGAAGCTCTGGAGATGGTCCAGTCCCACCCCACGCAAGGCAGGGTCACTGCTCAGGTGCCTCACTCCGGCTGGGGTTTGAATGGCTCCAGAGAGGGAGACTCCACCAGCTCCCTGGGCAGCTTGTCCCAGCACTCTACCACCGTCAGCATAAAGAAGTTCTTTGTCATGTTGAGGTGGAACTCCTTGTGTTCTAGTTCACGTACAGAACGTGGAAAATTTGATTTCCATGCTGAAGCGTACATGTCACTTTTTTTTTTTTAAGTAGAGGATGTGAGCAGGTCCCTTCCAAATGTGTGTGTGTGTGTGTGTGTGTGTGTGTCTGCACATGAAAACTTCAACAGAGCTACATCAAATTCACCGCTGTCCAGGATGTTTTCACAACGCATTTCTACAGTTGCGTTCCTCGTATGGAGAGTGCAAAAATCTACAAGAGTGAAAATCCACATTTGTCATAACCAGAAATTCATACTGGTTCAAATATGTTCAAAACAAAACCAAACAACAACAAAAGCAAAACCACCACAGACACAAGCCACACACACACAAAACCAAAGAAAAACAAAACCACCAATGCTATCTCATGGCCTCTACAAGACCCAAAAATTCCTAATCCTGGCAGTTCAAACTAAGATGTGCTCGAAGTACAGAAGTAGTAGAAGAGCTATTGCAGGTATTCTTTCAAAAGAAGAAAAAGGAGCACAGCCGTAAAAAGTGCTGCATAAATTTAAAATATTGTGAGTACCTGGTGTAATTATCACGTTCAAACTTTCAAAGCCCTTCTATAATCATCCCTCCTAGTGTTCTGCTGCCTATGTCTAAGGATCCATATCCTGCACAGAAGGATGGTTCACAGGCTTGAGTCAAGGGAAGAGAGGGAAGCATGAGTTTGAGGAAGCAGAGGTGGAAAATCAGGGATGTGGATCCAAGACTCCTGGTTTGAAGAGAGGTCAACACAAAATAGTAGGCGGAGCAAGGCAGGCATTGGCCACAAAACCAGCCTGAGTTCATTTGCTGAGATTAAAAGTATGTGGCCACTGTGTTCTAACATGACTTGTTTGCACTGAAACTTACAGCATGTTTCCACTAGTAAGAAGTGTGGCTGGAATTAGGATTGCTAATAATAACACATATTCATCACAGAGAAAAATAACGTGACCATGCTGAATAAACTATTAACAAAGCACTACTAGAAGCTGCAAAAAAATTGTCATTACTCTAACTGGTTAATATGTGACCTCTTTGAGGGTTAAGACATGAATTCTACAAATGGTTTAACACTTCAAAAATATGTTCTGTTGCTTGCATACTGAGAAACAGTTTATTCTGGTGTAGGAATATATCCCAGTGTAACAGTGTTGATTTTTTTTTTTTCAACTATTCATTCTCCCTCAAAAGAATAGTTACTTTTTACCCACCATTTAAGCACTATCTTTTAATCATGTAACATTTCTGATTACCATACAAAGGTGGCATGGTCTTGTGTTAACTCTTTCTAGTAAAGGTGTAAAACTTTTTTTTCTTCTGTTCACTTCTGTTCCTGTTGGCTGGAAAGTATCAGCAGCCTCCCTCCACACATGTTCAGCAAGCACATTCTAATACCAGTGTACCTCATGGGTTTTTTAATTAAAACTTGATTCCTCAGAGAGAAATAAAGAAACAAATGTGGTGGATCTGAGCAAATGAAGTTTTCAGAATACAAGTAAAGCTCATAGGAACTTGTCATTTTGGAAAAATACAAGTTGCCCTCTCTCTTACCTCACAGTAGTGTTCTAGTCTATTAGGAAACAGGGTAAGCACACTGAAATATAGAATTACACGTCGGGTTTCTGCAGCACAAAGGCCTCTTTCCTACCTCCCCCCATAATCTGCCCAGTAAACTCAGCAATCCCATGCTGTGCAGTAATGCTACTCCTGGGCAATACCATGCATTCTTTGTCCAGCATTATTTTCCTGCCTGTCTTGCACCAGTCTGAGTCAGTGCCAACACACTGATCCACAGCAGTGATGTTCCTGTGCTGACACAGCAGAAAACACATTGACATTTTTCAAGCCAGCACTTTCTTCAAAAGGTCCTGATTGAATTCAATCACTGGAAAAGAATTGAGAGGTAATGTGAAACCCAACAGCTCTAGCAGTCTCCACAGATCTCCAGCACTGCTATAGAAAAAGTCTGTGCCACCTCGTGGCACAGACCGAGAATATGCAGCTGCACATCAAGAATGGCACAAAAGCACAGCTAGGAGAGTGGATACCTGAATCAAAAAACCTACCTTCGTCAGGAATCTACTAAAAATTATTCCAAGGAAAAACATACAAATACAGACCTTTCAGAACAAGTTTATTAGTCAACCACAATTATAAAACTTAAATATTTATATAACAAGATGGAAAAATCTTAAGTAACCAAACACTTCAAGTTATTTTGCTGCAGTATACACAGGAATGGTTTTGTTAACAAGCTGGCCAAACATAATTCTTCACTCACAAGTGTCTTGATGGCATGTCTAATTTTGAATGCATTTCACACGTAAATGCAGGATACCAAAAGAAAAAATTAAAGACCATACTAAACTGATTCAAAAAGGAGAAAAAAAAAAAAAAAGAAAAAAAACAGGCACATTGAAGTCATCTACTCCATAAAGAGCTCGTGGCTAATACTGTTTATGGTACCAAAATTCAAAGGGTACAAATTAATATGGTCTTTGATACATAAATAACACATTCTAAATGTTTTTTGTTTTGCAAAACATGCATAAAATTCCCACATTTTTTAAAAAGTCTTCTGTACCAGAGAAGGAATACAAAGGCAGCCAGAAATGGAAGCATTCACAAACACCAGAATAAGGCCCTTCAGAATTCATTTAAAGTAACACCTTAAACCCCTTCATTCTCAGGTAAAAGATTAAGAGGCCGAGATACACATCGTCTGCGAGGGTGAGGATACTGCAGGTTGGCAGTGTCAGCATCACAAGACTGCTCTATCAGAGGAGGAGGAGGAAGGAGCTGGGCATGACTGGACCATCTCGATCCAGCCCGTGGGGAATCCAGAGGGGGAAAGAAATACCTGAAACAATTAAGAAAGGAACAAAACACCAAAACAAAACAAACAAAAAACAAACAAACAAAAATAAACCAACAAAACAAGAAAAGAAGAGAAAGGTAGTAAATACAAGGAGAACCAAAGGGGAGAAAAGACATGCTGGAAAAAAAAAGGCTTTAGTATATCCATGCCAAAACCAATAGAACATAATAGCAGAAATCAAGACTTGTAATTCAAAACAAGACAAATCTGGAAACTCTTCTTTAAAGTAAAACAATAATCTTTTCCACTGAAATTCACTGAAAATAATACCATAGTCATAGTCCTAGCATACATTTTTAAAAAGAATGGATTGCTTTGGAAGTCAAAAGGGTGGTGGAGTACAGCTATTAACAGACTTTCATTCTTCCAGAATTTCTGTGATTTGTTAACAGCTTTCAGTAATGCTTTGTTTGTGACACAAAATATACATTAAATATTACCAAAGTACATTTGCTGCATATGCATCTAATTCAGATTAACTTTACAGCATTTCTAGAATAGATGTAAATCATCACTCTTTACATTAATGATTAACATTTACAGAGAATAACTACTTTGAATGAAATACAGTCTTTGTGTCTATTTACATATTTCTGCAAAATCCTCAGTGTAAATTCAAGATTCCTGGTGAAAGCAAGATTCAGAATTATGCCACTCCATGTCATCCTGCTGCTGTTTTTATTAGAACTTACCCGTAACACTTGTGCATTTTAGTATAACTATATTGTTTTCTGTCTTGTTTACAATTCTGTGGACTTACATCAAAGAACAGCTAACAGTTTATTAATGAAATTATGGGACAATTAACAACAAGCTGCATTTTGGTTTATATCTCTGTATGGCTAAAGTGTTTGCATTTTTCAAGAATACTGCATTTAGAGAATTTAAGTACTCCATGTAATTACAACTATTACCATATGAATGTACAAATATGTAACAGAAAAAGTACTTCTTTTAGAATGAAGTATGACAGTACTTAGAAAACATTTATTTGAAGTCATACTAAAGAATAAAAATTAAGCAATACCAAACAATTAAAAGCCATAATCACAATTGTCCAAACAGTTTTCTTACTCCTTCAGAACTAACAGTTGCATATATTACAAAGCAGTTACAACCTTGTAATGTTTAGGAATCTTACTCAAATGCTGAACACTCTGAAATGCAAAACAAATTGGTTCTCAAAACAACTTTAATGAAAGTTATTCTAATGGTCGTTTCCCTCCTCCCATCCCAATCAAGGACAAAAATTCTTGGTTTTAATCATGAACTACCTTTTAATTTTACAAGCTTTCAAAAATATGTTCTGATGGAAGTTTTGGGTTTTGGGTGGGTTGTTTATAGTTTTTTCCAAACAAGATGCCTCTCCAAATATTTTTCTATCGGGCGTCCCATCAGTATCAAACTGTGCAGGCAAAAAACGCACACAACGTGTTTTAAAAAGGCTTTGTGAACAGTATTTAGTAGTTAGCAGGCTGCTGGTGTCTTGGGAGAGGTCAAACGGCGCTGGGGAAGGGGAAAAAGGAGATCGTTTTCCATTCCTGTGTGCATGCAACAAGCAGCAAAACACCAAAGTTACTCCAGTTAGCTTGGTATCAGCTCTGCTTTCTGTTAAAAAGGACACAGTACAAATGGAGAATGGAAATTGTATCATAAATCTAGACACACAATTATATCAACATAATAATACAGCCCTACTCGTTTATTTCCTAACAATCTACATCACATGTTCTGAAATTTGTTTTGAGTATAAATCCAGTTTGGTCATAGTGCTTTTATAGCCTTTTCCAGATCTGCCTGTTCTGTAGCTGTTTTAAGTGTTTAAATGTATAGACATGAAACATGGCATGTACAGACAGAGACAAAGTAAGTTATGTGTAGGATACCTATTTAGTCAAATGCCAATGCATAAATCTTTATCAGCATGTTAACACTAACACAGAAGTTAGCGACTGTGCTTACACAACTCAGGCCAATATCACTACAAAAGAAAGCATGTAGTAAAGTGTGCAGCTGTTATTATAAGACTCAATCCTAGGACAAGACACCATATGTCTGAAAATTTCACAGCCACTGACTTAATTCTGGAAATAACATTGTCTTACAAATTGCAGGCAAGAATAATTTATTAAAAAACAAAACACCTTCCAAAACACAGAGCAATTAAGGGAATAGAAATAATGGTAGAAGTTTCAGTTGCACAATGACTTAGCACCAAGTTCAGGGACAAGAGAAGAGACACCAGTGGGGTGGGGATGGTTAGACTCGGTGGCAGCACAGTCTTAGATAAGGAGATTGTGAAACCACACCCTATGCTAAAGAGCTGTAAAACAGCCTGCCTTTCCCCACAGGAGCTCAAGCAAATACAACCACACAGCTCTGCACATACCATTTCCAAGACAGGGCTGCATTTCATTTGCTACACTGCAAGAGGAACCTGGAACCATGACCAGCATCATTTTGCTGCCCTTTCTTGTAGGGACCAGGTCCATTACCACCTCTTGTCTTCACATTTATCTTGTGAGGAAAATGTGAAACCTGTTCTCTGCTCAGCAGGGTTAGGGATCTTGAACTGCCATTCAGGACTGACTACTCAAAGGGCAAGAGGGGCTGGTGCTACTCTCTAAGAGTAAACTTTACTGATAAGCATTCCAAACTGAAAAAAAAAACCTCCCATGAGTAGCTGTACATGGATGGAAAGGGAAACTATCTCATGGCATTTGAAACAAAGATGGCCACAAAACTTGAAAACTGCTGCTGGCCACATCTCATCCTTGTATAGGACTTAGAATTCTGTAAAGCTTATTGTACACACTGCACCATACAGATGCAAGACTCAGCGTATTTCTACATTTCAGGGTGCACAAATGAAAATGTTTTTTCAGAAGAGGCAGTAAAATTTACCTACTAAACAGCAACTATTACAGAATAAAAACCTAACAGATTAAGGGAAATTATCTACAATGTGAATGCCATATGAGGAAAGTCACAAAACTTTTATTCAATTGATGCTACATACCTGCAAAACCCAAGTAAACTAACACTAATATTTGATTGTTGAAACCGTATGTTTTGAAGTAGCTTTTCTTCCTTTCCTTCTGCTACATTATCCCAGAGAAAAAGAGAATTTGTTGCTGGTATTTTTACTTTACTTTTAAACATGTATCTAAAACAAAAGGGCAGTTACCCACCAGTAGGATGAAGCTTCTCCTTCAAAACTATTTCAGAAATGTTGTTTTTAATAATATGAAAGTACTAAAAATGAAAATAGTTATTTACACTGCTTATTTATACAGACTGATTCGGTATGACTTACTGTTTTGTTCATTTTCCCCTTAACACTGGCATAATAGACAAACCACAGAGCAAAACCAGAGGAGCTTATAAAAGTACGTACTCATGCAATAAATGACATTACACTTTAAAAATATGAGATAAATGAAATGAAGATTCAGAGAAAAGACTATTTACTAAAAATCAGTCTCTCTACTTCTTAACCTACCTGCTGGCAGATGATCCATTTAGTGAATTCTGCAGACTTGTATTGGCTGAACCTAGAGAGGCATTAAATATTCCCTGCTGAGAACTACCATTCACCGGACTCCCATTACCTTTCAGTATACCAGTACACTTCCAGTTGTCCATGTAATTGGCTGCAAACACAGATATATAGAAACTGTTAGTTTCTCTTCTGAAGCTCCACTTTCCCTACAAGTATGTTTCCACTGCCCCACATCTGGTGTGAATCAGAACTGAATTTCAATACCAATATATAAATTCCAAAAAGCTGAGGATCTAGCCCTTTAGCTGCCTCATATTCTCTGCCTGTCCATGTTTTGTTTGTTTGTTTGTTTTTTGTTTGTTTGGTTTTTGTTTTTTTGTTTGCTTGGTTGATGAAGGGGGTGCATGTATTTTTTTGTTTTCTCTTAAAAAGGTAAACAGAAAAAAGCCATTTGCCTGGACATTGTGACTGAATGTAGATTTTCTAGGTTTAGCAGCAGGAAAAGATCTATCTTACTTTTTAACATGAAAACTTTATGTTGCTCTAGTCTGGTGAAACAATTTCAGGGTACAGTAACAACTATTCACAGCAGCCTAAATCATGCAAGTATTTCAGCACAGAAAGTTATTTCTGAATTCTGTTTTTCTTAAACAGAAAAAGAGAAAAAATATCTCTCTTTCACAAATCTAAAATTAACACTCGGTCCAAAATTATGTTTTGAGTAGAATTTCTCAAGTATATTCAGCAGATACAAAGTTGATGTGTTTCAAGTGGGTAACCTTACCCTTCCAGAGCCTAACACAGCCATCATCACCAGAGGAGGCAAGCACCGTGCCTGTAATATTCCAGCTCACTCGCCACACCTGGGAGTTGTGATTATCAAACTGTGCCACAATATGAATTTCAAATTTTGTTAATCCTCCTGATGAAGTCAATTCTTTCCTGTTTAAGACAAAAATGACAGTTCTGCACACAACTGTTCAAAGGTCTGGGCTTGAACATGATGAACTACATCTTTCTAATAACAACTGTTATTAGATAAGGTATTCAGACAAAATCATAGACTTGCTCACAATCTTATCACCTTAAAAATCAAGTTGTTAAAAACAATCCTGCATACATTATTACTTTTGCTTTGCACAGACAATTTGAAAAAGATTGTACAGTATGCATCAGATCACACAAAATCATCTTCCTATTAAGCTCACCTTAGAGGTTTTAGGGTGAATATTCGTACATCTTTGGTTGCTACAGCTAAGATGTGGAAGGATCTTCCCAGATTTGGAGCAAATGCAATGTCATGTACAGGATCTGAGACTGTCATCAGAGCTTCTGCTTTTGCGTATTTCCTGTACAGTGCAAGAAATTAACTTTTAATGCCATGAAAATTGCCAGTGATGCAAATTATATAAACCAGATATAGTGGAAACAGGAAAAAGGGTTAAGTATATACAATAAGACTTCCAAAACTAAATATTTTTTTAACATAAATTTAGTCAATAATTTCAAGCACATTTCTTCAGAAATTGAATCTATCAGATACAGTAGCCACTAAGTACAATATGCTACAATATTGTAAGTCACACAACAAAGCAAGAATTGCAGTACAAAGAATATTTTTGTCTGCAATTGGAAAAGGGAAATAAAAAGAAATATTCCATTCACAAATCTAAAGAGAATTTGCATCTCAGTGACTCACTAAATTTTCCATGCTTTTAAGCACACCACTGTCTGCCTCCTCTGCTGTATGACAAACACATATTCCATTTTCTCAGTAAGTTACAGTAACTTTATTGTTACTGCATGGAGAGCATTGCCTGAAGCTGGGCATAAAATCCACAGAACACTCTGGCTCCTTTCCCACATAAGTCACTCCCAATCAAACAATTCCTCGGTTATCATTTAACTGGAAGTGGCAGTGCACAAACTTACTAGCCTCTTCTGGTTTTGTGAACTCTTGACTATACAACCTGAACTTTAACAGACCATGAGCAATTCACAGCACTTTCTGTCATTCTAATCAAACCTTTAAAATCATTGTAAGGTGGCTTTGAACAAAACAGTGCCTGGTGCAACACAATTCAAATTTCAACTGTTTACTCCTTGTGCAAAATTAAACATATAATTTAGTAGACACAGAAACAACAACTCTCCCTTTAAAATGCTGGTAAGAACACTGACATTTCTGAACTGACAGAGAATAAAATTATCAATATAATTTCTGTTAACACCAGTTACCATTCTGAGGTCTTCCTCTCTTCTCCTACCCAATGGATCAGAGACAAAATTAAGGTATTATTATTTACTACTCCACATCTAATGATAGGAATAAAAGGAATAAATACTATAAACAACTTCATGATCCCACATTGTTATTTAGCATACCTGGTATTTTCATTATATTCATAAATTTGAACCTTAGCCAGTATATTTGGACTGTTGTCATCACTTCCTACAGCAATCATTGGAGAATGTGCTCGAGAGCTAAAAGGTGAAAACAAAGATTGTTATATTTACATATTATATCTAGATAGATATATAGATATATAATATTTATATATAGTATTTCCCACATAAAGTACACCAAGACATTTGTTAAATTTCAAACATTATCTATAGAGAAAACAAAACAACACCACAAAACATTACAAGGAAAAAATCACAATGAAACAGGAGTTAAATGCTATTCACAGTTATCTTCACTCTGTTGCTTTGAAAGCCCACTTTATACACTCATAAAGCTGAAATCATTAGACAACATTACTTAGCAATTCAAGATGATGTTCTCAGAGAGTAGAATGGGCTTTCTATAATAGACCGCATCTGCAGCCTAGTATTTGCCAGAAGTTTAATAGCAGAGTCTGCATTCTTTGCAGTGCTTTTAATTATTGATTTAGTGATATTTCATTCAGGTTTTGGAAGATACAGTACATAAGCTAAATGTAGAAGAATTCTAGTTTTTAAATAAACTTTTGTCCTGTCCCATGCATTAAAATGAATTCCTGTATGCTGAACCTTCAGCACAGACTAGTGCTAATGAATAGAAAGAAGAGTAACTGGATCAGCAGGACACAACACTGTGTCCACAGGGAAAGCCATTAAGTGCTTCTGGACAAACAGAAATTAAACCAGTTCAGCTTTGAATGTTTTTTCCCTTCCTATTACAGACATAAAGCAAGTGTTTTAGTAACATACCTCGAAGGATTCCACGAAATACAACTGCAGCTGAGCTTACAAGAGATTTCATGCTGCAGTGACCACTGGCTGAGATTCATCACATCTGGAGCTTCATAGATCCTTACAACTCCATCTGCTGAACAGGTTGCTAACATAAGACCCATGTGCTTGGGAGCGAACTTCACATCTGTAACAGATGTTCTACTGTCTACTAGAGTGGTCCTCTTGACCTGCAAAGAAATTTCCATCAAAAATTTATTCCCTAAGGAAGACTAATCAAACTCTGACAACACCATTTTATAGGATTGCTTACGTTTTCCACCAAAAAAATTCCCCCCCTCAGCTTTTCTATTGTCTGAAAGATGAGCAAGAACAGCCAGCGTTGTTTCAAATTATCTGTTGTCAAAGAAAAACCCAACTTTAACTCTACTAAGTGCGAATTCATGTCAGCAAGTTGTTTGCCAGGGAACATCTTTTAATAGTGACACAAACTGGCCTGAATGTAGCCAGTTAACTGTTTTCCTCAAATGTTTTAAAAATACTTAATTTGTGTTGGAATGTGGCCACAAATGAACAAAACATAGCCAAAATCATAAACTTTATAGCTAGAGAAAAGAAGTCTCACCCAGTGACTCTGGCCTCGGAGTTTATCATTTGATTCTCCCACTATTTCTTCCCATACAGCTGCTGTTCTATCAAACGAGCAGGAAGCCAGGACCTGCCCAAATTCAGGATGGGCCCACGTCACACGCCACACTGATCCACTATGTGTCTGCAAGATAACATCAGAACACTGCAGAGAAACAAACTTACTGTGTTAGGCCAAGGAACCATCCATTTTCATGACTTTCTGAAGAAGAGAATCCTAGGAAGTACTAACACTGTTCCTCTGAAACCTATGTTCTTTTATACAAAGTTACACAGCAGCGGTCACTGTTCTTTATTCCAACCAGCACTGCAAAGTTGTTGCTCTTAGTGTTTAGAATGCAATTATTACACACGTATTTCAAGGCATTATTAATACTTTAAGTTCCAAACTATGATTCTGCTTTGATGCAAAAAGTACAGTTTTGTTCTCAATCAAATTTCAGCCATTACCATGTTCACTTATAGCTTGCCTGTACTTTTCTAAAGCACTTGCAAAGCATTTTTAATCTTCCTTTTATTATGAAGTTCCTTTATGCCTAGTCAACATTCCTGTCTTAGAGAAGGGGAATTCAAAAGCCTTCCTTGCATTGCCATTTACAGGAATGAATGCACTGTCGTCCTATTAAGTTTAGGAGCAACTCAGAAGCTGAATGCACTAATTATCCTGATGAAGCAGAGCCTCTATATGACACAATTCTCAGAAAGGTTTTGGAGAACAAAAAGCAGAGGTCAGATGTTGTAACATTTAATAGCCAGACATCTTCCTTTTAATTTTCCCCCCTTTTATTTTTTTAAGTGTTACTATATGTAAAAGGAAATACTGAATTAAAAATTAAGGTACTGTTTTCTACTCCTTGAACACCAGTCACCAATAATCTTTACTAATACTAATCTGTCAACATAACTAGATACTAACAAGAGCAGACTGCATGTTAGCGCCTGCTTTAAGTGAGAGGCACTAGTAATGTTTCATCAAGCAAAAAAAGAGTATTTTACACAAGACATACAGAATCTACATCAAACCAAAAGCATTTCTGCTCTAAAATTCAGCATAAATGAAGCATTTTTCTCTAAAAACAAAGGAGAAATAATGATTATGTCTGTGTAAATTTTGTAAGTACAAACCTTCCAGCTGGCAGTGCAATGCCAATCTCCATTTTCACTTTTGTCCCAGACCTATTGAGAAATCAAAATACAATCATACAATTTGTAAACAATCCGTACTGACTAGTACTTTAAAGACACAACCACTCATATATATATATATAAAACAAAAACATACACACACACCCCCACTAAACATTTTTATCCAGGACACTGTATCTGGTTCAGTACAAAATTGCACTTTACTCCACCATGAAGCTATCCCTATTACAAGTAGGGAGAAGAGGTACCGCCTGCAAAACCCACTATTATATGACTTCTATCTCTTTTTGAACAGTAAATTACAAGGAAGAGAAATTATTAAAATTCCCAATAGTTCATTCACTTTGTTCCCAGAGTACACCACTCCGTTTAATTCTAGAGCCCCCAATTTCCTCACATGCTCAGCTCTGGTTGCTGAAACGCAAACGCAGCTCCCAGCACTCATCCCAAAAGCAGAGTAGGACAGTAAAATATACATCAGGGTAGTGGGGGAACAGATCTTGTTTCTTTTCATGAGATTTATGCCTTGATTTTTAACCACATGCAAGTCACTGAACCTTCCCCTCTCTTAATTTCCCATACACCTTTATACTTACGAGTTTTTTACTGAAAAACTATGTAGAAAGTCATGAACATAACCAAATAAAAGACACCACCTGACACTTACTCCTATTTGTCACTCATTCACTCTAAGGCTGTACTGAAAGTCACCTCAAGCCTGCCACTCTGGCTCTCTAACACAACCTGGGTCATGTTGTCCCTCTGGTTGGAGGAAATCTTCTGAACAATCTCATAAAAGATTCAGTTATGACTAGAAAGTAACATTACACTGCTAAAGAACAGTTTCTGTGTTCATCCTACCTCCTGGCATCTGGCATCTTTTTTAAGAACTGCACACCCTAGGTAGTCAGTCCAAATTAAAGATCCCCATGGCTTCGGCTTACTTTCTGGGGGGGACCATCTTGTCGTTATTTGTTCTTTGCTTTTTAGTCTGTGGTCAGGGAGAAGGGGCTGCTTCCTTGTTTTTAAGCCTAATCTACATATAACACAGCTTTCTACTACAAAAAAAAAAAATCACTTTCTCAATCATTTATCTGGATTTAATAACAAACATATCTGCTCTCTGCAAATTAAATCTCTTAAATCTATCCACGCGACTCCCAAATATTGGCCCATCTTCTCACTATACACAAAAAAAAAAAGGAAAAAACCAATCAACTTTTCGTTTAAGTAAATATAAAACGCTATTTTATTTCGTCTAAAGGACCGTAAAAATTAAGACTTCTAGTATTCTACACTTTCCCCAGTCGGCCAGGGAACACACGGAACACTCCGGCTTTTTTCTTGCCGGCACTTCACTTTCTTCCCATAATAAATACAGATTACTGGCACTACATTACGAAACAATAGGTTTTTTTGGTAAGCATTCTTTAATAAACACGGATTTTCAGCTGAATAAACTCAACCAGCGGCACGGCTGCAGGCACAGCAGTCGGGAATGTTTTCCCTGCCGCAGCACTGGGTCGGAAGCGGGGCTCCCGTGTTTACACGCGTTAGCGTACACACGAACACAACGCGTACTGCGTGCTAAAGCCTCCCGCCCCCACGGCCCGACACCGCACCGGGACCTCCGGCGGACCGAGCCCCCGCCTGCGCCCGAGCCCGGCCCCACCCGCAGCCCGGTAGGCCGCGCACGCCCGGTGCCGCGACACAGCCCGGCACCAGGCCCGGAGGCTCCCCGCTCACCTTGACGCTCTGGTCGCTGGAGCAGGTGGCCATGCGGCGCCCGTGGAAGTCGAAGGACACATCGTGGATGAGGTCGCGGTGATCCGCGGCGATGCTGCGCGCCACGAACATCCCGCCGCGGCCGCCACGCGCGCGCCCCTCACGCGGCGGGGCGGGGCGGGGCGGGGCTGCGGCCGCGCGCGCAGCCGCCAGAGCCCCTCGCGTGCGCAGGAGGCTGCTCCGCGCGTGCGCGCTCCTTCCCACCGCCGGGAAGGGCGGGGAAGGGCGGGGAGCCGAGCCTCCCGCTGAGGGTCGGGGCGGTGCGGGAAATTACCCTCTGCCGTTCCTGACTGCGACTTGTACCCTCGCGAAGCGACAGGAGAGAGGATGTAACCTCAAGCTGCCTAAACCAGGGGAGGTTTAGGTTGGACATTAGGAGGACTTTCTTCTCAGGAAAGATGGTTGGTTAGATGTTGAAGTGGGCTGGCCAGAGGGATGGTGGAGTCACCGTCCCTGGAGGTGTTTAAGGAAGGACTGGACGTGGCACTTGGTGACGTGGTGATGTTCGGTCTCGATGATCCCGGAGGTCTTTTCCGACCGAACGGGTTCTGGGATTCTGTGGGCTGCTGTGCCCGCGGCGCCCTTGGAGCGCGCCGAAATCGCGCTCCATAGCGGGTCCGAAAAGCTGCGGAGGTCGCTGTGGTAGTGCAGATCAACTAACCAACACTCAGCGCGGCGCTGTACTGCATTTGCTCCCTGTGATGTACTGCATTTGCTTCGTTAATGATTTACTGTATTAATGAGCCCTGTCCGATGAGCCTTGCGGTGCGAATGAATGTGTCTCGGGGAAAGATTTGGGAGGATGAAGTGCATGACCGACAGCGCAGGCAGGGGAGGAATCCGCGGACAGGTTGAGAAACTCCTATGAGGGAAGACTAAGAAAATTAAGGTTGTTCAGTTTGGGAAAGAGATGGCTTAGGGGTGACCTAACTGTGGCCTTCTAGTACCTGAATGGGAGCCTACAAGAAAGAGAGACATTTTTCACAAGGGTAAGTAGTAACAAAACAAGAGGCAACGGCTTCAAACTCAGAATAGGTTCAGATTAGATATTAGGAATAAATTCTTTACTGTGAGGGTGGTAAAGCACCGGAACAGGTTGCCCAGGGAAGCTGTAGATTCCCCATCCCTGGAAATGTTCAAGACCAGGCTGGATGGGGCATTGGGCAAGCGGGTCTAGGAAACATGTCCCTGTCCGTGGCAGGGGCATTGGAAGTAGATGGTCTTTAAGGTCCTTTCCAACCCAAGCTATCCAAATCTCGGCACACGGTAGAAAACACATCACGAGTGACTGAGCTCTGGGCGGGAGCTATAGACCAGTAATGACTGGTCTGTAGTCAGAGGGCTGTGCAAAATAAATGAACCACAGCAGATGGAGACTCTTGAGGGCTCAATAGTTTCACCCGTGACCTACAGCCTTTCAAGGAGCTCCTCACTAGAAGAAGCACTTTCTTCCAGTTTGTGTCCTGCAGTGTCCTCTCACAAACTGGGTCATGCAGCTCACATGCCAATACCTTTTAAATACCATTCATTTGCTCTATCACTGAGCACAAGACTGTGGCAGCATCTTGTTTTTAAGGAATGTTTCATCTGTAAGCTGTGTTATTTACTGACTATTCTGAAGATGACTACAACAGTGAACAAATATTAGCAAAGAGAAAATAATTCATGCACTGTATTCCAAACAGCAATAATGCAGTCAGTAGATTGAAAAAAATTATTATTGTGGCAATAAACACAAAAAGCAAATACATTTGTATTTAACTGGTTTATATTTCAGGACCAAAACAGTACTGAAGTCATCAGAACACTTCCAATGCCTTAAAGCTATGCTCCAGTTTTCCAATCATATAGTAAGTGAAAAAAGGAAAGGCTGAAACTCCCTGATACCAGATATATTCAAATTCTCTGGATTCAAGTCAGATTCAGACCTTTTCTAGAAGACTTTGGTAACTGCAGCTTTAACAGAAAATTTGTTTTGACCTTTTCAAAAAGACTATTGCTACTCACTACCTCATTTAAATTTTCAAGTTCATAGCAATGAGAAGTCAATTTCTGTCCATTCAGTGAATACAATTTGTTCAGAGATGTCCAAATTCTTCACAGAATTATAAAGAAACTGTTACGTGCTTGTGAAATAAACCTGACAGTTTGGTATTTAACGTATTTAGTTTTACAAACTGCAAACTACATTCAGTAGGGACTGATGGAGGTGGTGTTATCACATGCCAGAGGGATCCTTTCACTCTTTCTGCATAACCTGCATGTAAAATATGCAAGTGTTTAGCACCCTAATGCGGGAGTTTCATTGGTAGGCCTTATATTAAGAGTAGATGTGGTGGTACCCAAATGTGATTAGGAATTATAATAGATAGAGAATAATAAATTAAGATAAATTACAATAAATTTGGACTTAGAGGTACACCATGGCTTTAAAATGCTAGAACTCAATTATTTTAGTAATACTTGGTAAGGAAAACTTAACATGTTGAAAAATATATTCTTGCCCAAGTACAGCAAATATGATAAAAAATGCTTTCAGTTACAGAGGGTCAAAAATGTGGAAGAAATTGGAAGGAAAATCACCAGCTGGTTTTACATTATTGTCCAAGCTGGCCAGTGATAGTTTTAAAATTATATTTTTTAAATAATGCAGAACTAAATCTCAATGGATAACAACAGCTGGTGCTGAAAAGAGGAATTTGTAAGAAAATTGTCAAGAAAATTTAGCTATGTAAGCTTTACCTGTTTATATTAGTGGATAAATTTTGTCGGTATTTATAAATAAGAGAAAACTTGTAAAGCATTTAAAAAAATGAGAAGTCAATGAAAAGAAGAGGTTAATATTTTCTCATTTCTGAACATGAGCTGGTATTACACAATTCCTCTCCTAGAGGGAACCTCATTCTGGGCTCTAGGGCTATAGTACAAATACCCTTTTTTTTCCCCTGCAATCACATGTAATCACTTTGGAAGTTGAAATTTCAGTATTTTCTAAACAATGGCTAAATTTTAAGTAATGCAATAGAAGAAGCAAGCAAATGTGTTTGTGACTGTTTCAGTGCTGTAATTAGAGAGGTAGTAAATTTTTCATGCTATTCTCATAAGTAAGAAAAACAAACAAACAAACAAACAAATAAAGGCAAAGATCCCCAAAACAAATAGTAGTAATGCATGTATTTAGATTGCTAAGGAGAAAAAAATTTTTTTTTTTTTTTTAGTCTTTCAGCATAATTGAGACGTGTACTTTGAAACTTCAGTTATTGCTTCATTCAAGCAGCTGGAGCGACAGCACCTAATAAAAACATTAAAGCTGACTTATAAATTCTTTAGTCTGTGACAGTGTATCTGAACGGTCGATTTTTTTAGTAATTTGGGGAAATGTCTTTTACTGTAAACCACTGACTATGTTTATAAAAAACTGCATTTTTTTCAGAACAATTGTTTCCTGTCAGTGATTCAGCTGTTGAAACCAAATTCTTTTGCAATTTTCGTAATGTAATGGTTTTGTTGAGATTTGAATATGTTTCTACTAGTGAATGAATATCTTTCACCTGCTCAAATCAGCCAGTAATAACAGTATAGTTGCAGCAGGGCAAAACTGTCAGATTCACAAATAATTAGCCTCAATAATTTTCATTTGAACAATATATAAATAGGTAATGGTATTGCAAAGGCACATTTTGACCTAAAATATTTGTTTTCTCTGACAAGACACAAAAATTGTACACTTCAAAAAGCAAAAAAAAAAAAAAAAAAAAAAAAAACCAAACCCAAACAACCATTTTTTAAAAATAAATATACACATACACAAATATTTGTTAATTTTTAAATATAACCAGCCCCTGACCTCATTCTCTAGATTCAAAGCAAGTTTAGATTTATTTAGAAACTGGGTCCAAAATCACCACTTACTTTAAAAAATCCAGGAAATGTGGGTGATTGTCATCCCAGAACCTTAGTTTACTGGGGTGTCTGGTTTTAATCAGTACCAGGAATGAGATAAATACATTTACCTAAAGTAGCCAATTGTATCAGATGTTTTCAGTTAGTAGAAAGACTGACACAGAATGCAGATTCAATAGAGGAAACACTTCATAGTGAAACATCAGAATCAGCAAAGGGATGAGGGGACAAGATACAGCCTTTGTTAAGGTAAGCAGTCATTAAATAGACAGCCAATTAGGATGGAAAGCATCCAGTCTAATGAAGAGGCACTCACATTTTCTGGGGAAGTGAAACAACATTTGATTAAATTCTTTTAAATGGCCAGAGTATCTCTCGCATTAGAAGTAGAACAATATTTGTTGATCTCTCTGGACCTCTTCAGGAAGATTTCAAATGTTATCAAAAATTGGCTTTAAAAGCTAACATGCTACATCAAAAGAGGGTCCTTCCAATGATGTAACATGAACACAAGTTATCTTGGACCACAGAAGCCTTGACATCTGGGGTAGTATGGTAAATCAGATGGAAAAACAGTATGTGAGCATTTTCCTTTTGCTTCCTCACCCAGGTCTAATATAAATCTTTCTTATGAATAAATACTTCAATTTCTTTTTATCTGAATCTAGGCAAAATTAATAACAAATTGAATACTACTGCCTAGTGAGACATTCCCCTTTGAATGATCTAACAAATCCAGAGAGCAAGACACTTAGTGCTGGAAAGTTGCAGCAGTTCCCTGCTGCATTTCCAGAGTATCCAGAGGGTTGTAAAGTTGGTGCACAAAGGGACAGTCCCCACTGCACAGCAGTGGTTGGCAGCTACCATTGCCAGGTCAGAGGGGCACAAGAATCTGCTGCTGATGGTAACTAGAAAACTTCCTGCCACATAGCAAGATAATGGGAAGCATGCTGGAACTCGGGGAAACCACAGGGAGTTTGCAGGTTCCAGTTAGCTGAGGCATGAATCAGGATTCAGCTACCAGCTAACCTTGAAGACTTCCTCTTATAGTGGAATAGTAAGGAAAGACACTCTGTTTGTGGTGATGGTGTGCATGATGTGGAAAAGTATTTTAACATTATTATTTGCATATTATGTGCAGAGGAAGATCACAAAACTATGACAATTCTGGTACATATTTCTTAACATTTTGATTCAGTATTATACCTTGATTAAATTAAA